GGATGAAGTATATATTTATATAGTGAGCGGGTGGGGGCGGCACGGGTCAATACTAATACCCGGACCCGCCCCATTGTATGCACGGTGTAGGGCGGATCCGCCCCAAATGTCTCGGGGCAGGTCGGGTCACTACGGGTCGTTTTTTTTACATGCCTAATTACATTTACAAACTTGAAAGCAGGTGGATTACATTTATAAAATGTACAAGAGCATTTCATAGTCATGGTCAGGATAACATACAATTCTTGGAATTCATGAGTGATTCAAAAAAGCACTCTTGAGATGGAGGATCAAATGACATGAAGAAATGATTTTTGTCTTGTTCTTTCAGTTTAATTCACTGCATAAACTGGCAGCAGCTCTTCGGCGCTTTAGGTTATCTCATCCGAAGGAACAAATATTCAGGTCATTTCTTAAGAAAGCAATCAAATTTCACAACAAATATAACAGAGCTATTTTAATTTCAATTGGGATCCCCTAAAAAAAATTCAATTGTTGATGTAATTTTTCTATTTCTGTCTTTTATCTTGTTCTTTCAGTTTCATCATATGTATTCTCAAATCTCTTGTACTCGGAATTTTATTTCAATAAATTAAGGAGGTGTTTCGCGGCACCCCTAGCACCTTGTGTGGTTTAAACAAGGAAAAAGAAAATGATTTTTGTAGAAACTGAAAAGGCAGGGTCAACTTATCAACAAAGAATAATAGACTTACCAATTTAAGTAAATCCATCCAAATAAGTTTACAAGCTCAAAGTTCATCAAATAGTATGGCTTAGAACTACATAAAGTTAGAACGATAATATGTACTAAGTATGGAGTAGTATGAAACATGGACCTCTGTTTTGAAATTCTTTTAGAGGAAACCCCCACAATATGAGCAAAGCATACCTACAAAAATAAGAATAAATGTTTAAACTTCTATAAATAGGAGTAATAATTTGTGATTGGGTAAAAACACTCTTGCAAGGTTCGCAAGATTCAAAGCTACTACTCATTGGGCTGCAGCTGCCGATCGCTAAACTGCAACCGGATCGTAGCTACCACACGCAGTCACCATAAATTACTCATATTTAAGGAAATTAAATTAAAACATGTCTTATTTTTGCACCATTTTCGTGTTTTACACCTATTTTAGGTGATTTCTTATTCTTCTACTACCTCCGTCCCATGATGCAAGATACATGTGGCTTGGTGTAGATTTTTTTAGATACATACAGATGAGTTTGGTAGGAGCTTTAAGAAAATAAAAGATAAAATAAATGTTTTACAATTCTAACTTCCAAAAGGGGAAAAAAAAAAGAAAAATAAAAAATGAGTCTACAAAGTAAAAGGTGAAACTTTGAACAAGCAAAAAGAAAAATTATATCGCTGAAAGGAGTAATGTTTTATTCTTGTCTGCCACATTATTTTTAAATGGCTCCAATACATCAAAACTCCTCGTGGTGTATAAATTTAGCGCATCAACCTTTCACGATTTATGAAATGCATTGAACCCTCATGTGCTAAAATTATTCATGCACAAAACTCCTTCAAACATGGGGTTTGACACAATTTTAAATCACATGGCTTGTTTTTAAATCAAATAACTTATTTATTCATATTCTCTCCACCCCGCTAAGATTGTCTCATCTTTTCTTTTCGGTCCGTCCCATTGAAATAGTGTAATACGAAATTTGGTAATTTTTGTGGTTTTAAGGCATTCTTACTTTATTACGGAGTATTACATTTTCAATTCAATATAAATCATATAAACTCATTTTTAATAATCGCGCCTCTAAAAAAGCCGCGCATTAAGCCGCCTCCTCCCTAGGGTTTGCGCAGCTAGGGTCGTTTTTCCGATTTCGATATCGCTAGATCGAAGATCGGTTTTGTTTTTCTTGGTTTCTGGTTTCGGTCGCGAAAGAGAGGAGATGAGAACTCGAAGGATTTGGGCATAGGAACCGAAGGAGCTCGACTGCACATGAAGATGACTGGAGTCGGTAAGCAAGGGATTGAAGGACAATTTCACGCAGATAAGGAGAGCCAAGCAGCGCAAGATACAGACAAATTGGTAATTATTGTTGATGTTGACGACGGGGCGGTCGGGTTGGAGGTAAACCGCTTTGATGCAATAACAATCGTCGCAAGAGTCTGACCTCCTCCAGAACCACCGCCAAGGGTTGATCGACGCGGTTTGGAGTTTGATTATTTATTTTTTCTGCGTTTTAATTTCCAGGTTAAGTCGTTTGTGTGTTGTTTTATTTTTTGCTGTAAGACTCCTGCATTAAGTTTGGGGGATGGAAAGTCTGCGGTAACCGTCATTGGCTTTAAGTTGCCCAATTTTGATCTAGCGAGTTATACTGCTTTTTATAGGTGGTTAACTCTCAGTCTCGACCACGGGCGGATGGTTGCATGTGGTTCTTTTTTGCTTGTGTACCCTTGTTGAATGGTATTTCTATGAATTAAGCCCTCTTCGAGCATAATCACGTCACTCTCTCTTGTCCCAATGTTAGTGTGACAAAGGTAGTAGCAAAGGAACGAGTGAATGAGTAACCTACGGCTAAACGAGATGAGACACAAAATGGAAAAGATCTCGTGAATCCTTAAAGATCGTTGACCCTACAATAATGTAGTCTAGTCTAAGAGTCATGTTTCTTTTTTCTGCGACATATAAAAAAATAAAAAATTACAAATTAAAGATTCGGCTAAACCTGCCACCAGAAAGGGAGAATCAGTTTTACTAGCAACCAACAAAGGAGACTCAATCGAGTATAAATGGGATGAATCATCGATTTGATCATCCACCGAGATGGAGATCTAGTCGGCTCTCGGAGTGAGGCAGTGGTTCAGGAGGATGATGAGTAGTTAAAACTTTAGAAGAATTAGGTTGAACTTGTCTTGTCAATCATGAATAATGAAAATTCACCACTCGATTGATTACACTAACGAGGAGCAGACAACCTCTCACGCTCACTCGAGAGGAGATGAGAACTCGAAGGATTTGGGCATAGGAACCGAAGGAGCTCGACTGCACATGAAGATGACTGGAGTTGGTAAGCAAGGGATTGAAGGACAATTTCACGCAGATAAGGAGAGCCAAGCAGCGCAAGATACAGACAAATTGGTAATTATTGTTGATGTTGACGACGGGGCAGTCGGGTTGGAGGTAAACCGCTTTGATGCAATAACAATCGTCGCAAGAGTCTGACCTCCTCCAGAACCACCGCCAAGGGTTGATCGACGCGGTTTGGAGTTTGATTATTTATTTTTTCTGCGTTTTAATTTCCAGGTTAAGTCGTTTGTGTGTTGTTTTATTTTTTGCTGTAAGACTCCTGCATTAAGTTTGGGGGATGGAAAGTCTGCGGTAACCGTCATTGGCTTTAAGTTGCCCAATTTTGATCTAGCGAGTTATACTGCTTTTTATAGGTGGTTAACTCTCAGTCTCGACCACGGGCGGATGGTTGCATGTGGTTCTTTTTTGCTTGTGTACCCTTGTTGAATGGTATTTCTATGAATTAAGCCCTCTTCGAGCATAATCACGTCACTCTCTCTTATCCCAATGTTAGTGTGACAAAGGTAGTAGCAAAGGAACGAGTGAATGAGTAACCTACGGCTAAACGAGATGAGACACAAAACGGAAAAGATCTCGTGAATCCTTAAAGATCGTTGACCCTACAATAATGTAGTCTAGTCTAAGAGTCATGTTTTTTTTTCTGCGACATATAAAAAATAAAAAATTACAAATTAAAGATTCGGCTAAACCAGCCACCAGAAAGGGAGAATCAGTTTTACTAGCAACCAACAAAGGAGACTCAATCGAGTATAAATGGGATGAATCATCAATTTGATCATCCACCGAGATGGAGATCTAGTCGACTCTCGGAGTGAGGCAGTGGTTCATGAGGATGATGAGTAGTTAAAACTTTAGAAGAATTAGGTTGAACTTGTCTTGTCAATCATGAATAATGAAAATTCACCACTCGATTGATTACACTAACGAGGAGCAGACAACCTCTCACGCTCACTCGAAGTGGACACTACTTTCGGTCGAAGAAGAAGCCAGACTAATATTAAAACTCTAGAGGGTAGAAATAAAAAATGACCACCTGTATAGAAAAACTTTTGATTCTTTACTGCCCAAAGAACGTCGCTAACTTCGAAGACTCTTGTCTATCGAAGTGGAGAATGTTAGGAGATTAGATCACGCACAAGCTCTGCGCGTAGGGTTTTCCTAAGCCCGACTCTCACTCCTCATAACTAAGTCCCATATACATCAATCATTTTAATTCTAATAAATTGCGTATAATCACATAGCGTATGACACGCTAGGGTTGGTGTATTAAACCGAAACAATAACTAAAGCACAAATTACGATTGTGAGATTTTACCTTAATAAGATCAAAACTTTGTATTTTAGTCAAAATAGAACCAACTAGTGTAAACATCATTAAATAGGTTTTTTGTTTGTGATTAGATCAAAATATCCTTCTAGGTGTGACTTGGCGCCCCTATTGCCAGAGTTCGCTGCTGCCATCACCGGGCTGCCCCACCACTAACAGATCGCCTTGTGCAAGAGAACTAAGAGCATCTCCATTCATAATACTCAAGTTTACGGTTTTTATGGTTTCTTATTGTCATGTCACTTCCACATAAGATTATCTCAAATAATATCCAAACCTATCAATTTCTCCTCATCCATGATTTTAATTTACCATTTTACCTAGATTTTTTATGAGACATGCGCAAACTACAAAACTAGTCATCACCTTAATTATCACCTTAATTATGAGTATATGCCTGGAAAATGGAGAGAGAAGTCTAAAAGTTGGAAATAATCTCAGAATAATCCCAAAAAAAGTCCTCCACATCATCAAAATGATTCCAAAAATAATCTATGAATGGGGATGCCTAAGGGGCAATTAATTGGATTAATTAATTAATTTAATTAATTAATTAAATTAGGGGTAAAAAGGAAAACGATTTTATTTCTGGAAAGGCCATTTTCTCATGACTATTTCTTCCTACTAAAAACAATACACAAAACAAAACTCACAGTATATTGGCTGATTTAGCGGAAAACTACACTGAACACTTTCTTGCTTTCGTCAATGGAAATTCATAAGGTAAAGTTCAAGATTTCATATATACTATTTCTCTATCTTTTCCCTTTCTGCTGAGTCATGAAAACGTTCTATGGTGCTACATTTTTTTTTTTCATTTTTTGGTGCTATATATATTTTTCATCATTTATTTGGAACTGGGAGTAGTAAAGCTAAAAAGCTAGTCTAGACTATAGATGATACTTGAAATTATTGCGGTGGAGTTGAATGCCAGCATATTTTCATGAAAAGTTGAGTAGTTATAACTTATAAGTGAAATGAATGATGTCCATTGTTAATTGCATCTTTGTTGAAGACGTTTGTCAACTTTGTTGAGTAATTCTTGCTCATGAATGTTTTTTTATTGAACAATTGGTAAAGTTTGAGCATCTATGCGCATTGCATGTTGAACATTAAAGGGATTTAAATCAACCTATTGTTAAATAGTGTTATATATACAGAGGGGAGTATATGAACATTCGCCTGACTGGAGTTAAGCCAAACTCATTTTCGGTAATAAATGAAGAAAAAATGAAGTCTTTTTTTGCTAATTAGCCTTAATGATTAGTTTCAATCCTTAGATTATCAAAAGGTTTAAATTTATCAAGCTTATTTCCATTTTTTATTAATTATCTTAACCAGCAGATAAATATTAAAGGTGAAAAGGTGAGTTTGAACCATTAAAATTCATTTTTGGGCCAAAAATGAAGTTGGACTTGCAAGATTCCCATCAAACCTGCCTGATGAGAACACTCATTTACATATAACCGGCCATCAATTCCATTACAGCACAGCCACATGGGCGGATCTAGACTAGGCCTCTAGTGGGTTGAAGTTCACGGATAAGCGAAATATATGTTTAAAATCTTTAATTTACTTTTTAATAGCCAACTAATTCTTTGGCGTTTCATCATAGTGACATGCACTTGTCTTCAGCTATTAAAGTCCCTTTTGAACAATTTTGAATCTCAGTAGCATCAAAACAATACTTGTATTTCAAACTAATTCATCATGGATTTGTATGGGCATCCCAAATCAAGAAGTGGTCCACTCAGGAATTCAGTTTTAGCATGGTGACTGTTCTTGTGAAAAATAATTACCCAATGGTTAAGATTTTAGAGACAACTTTAATTGGAGTTTTGCATTTCCACAACCCACATAGTAATCTGTAGCCTGACTGTTCGAAGTTTTCAGTAAACAAATGCAAGGATATTGAACTATCGCTTGCATGATCTTAAAGCTTTCCATTGGCATTTGTATTGAAGTATTGGAATTCTGTTTAACTATATCCTTGAATGAACTCTTCTTATAAAAAGGATGACACCCCATCCCTCTTCTTATGAACTCTTCTTATAATATAATGTTCATCTTTCATTGCCCTCATGCCAGATTGCATGTGTTATTCATGCAAGGAGATAAGGAGCTCTGAACTTTGTGCTTTCAAATTTTAAATAGCCATTTCTGTGCTCTCAATAAACTGAATATATTCCCAAAGCTTTCAAAGTAAATATGTTAGATTCGTTTAATAGTGAATACAATGTAGATTGTACAATTTGTTGATATTCCATAAATGAATTTTTACCCCTAAAAGGGTTGTTTCTTTTGTTTATTGCCAGTGTTCACCCCATGACACTGACCTTGCTGATGCTGATATTTCATTAAAGCTGGAACTTCCAGAAAATGACATCTGGTTCAAGAAAAAGATGGTTGGAGTTTCTAAAGCATAGTTCATTCATCATTTTCATTTTCATTTACCCCAGTGCCGCAAAGGATCCCACCTACGGTGGGGTAAGGGGGGGGGGGTCGGATGTACGCAGTCTTACCTCTGTACTCTGTACTGAAGCACAGAGAGACTGTTTCCGGATTACCCATAGTGAAAATCGCGTCCAGAATTGCATGGGCTGACTGCCACTTCATAACAAAGAAATGCAGACAGTTTAGTGAGCCATTTTGCTTTATTCCATCATATTCTCAAGCCAAAAAATAATGAATCTTTGGCTCCATTGCAAATGATGGAAAATTTCTAAAGCATAGTTCTCTTTTGAAAAATAATTTGTATATCTCATACCAGACACTCCCTCATCAGTTCAATGTTTTCTTTAACTTTCAATTTTTTTCATCAGAAACTACTTCAGGACATAGGTTCTAATCCATTGGGACTGATGCCCCTACGAGTCTCTGCTAATGCTGATCAGATAAAAAGCAATTTGAATTCGATGCTTCAACAAGCTAGAATCATAAATCTAGACGAGGTAATCCCCTTTTTCTCTATAATCTTTGTGCAGAGCCAGTTTGTTGTCTCTGAAACTGAAGCATGATATTGAATAAAAACCATCCCTAGCAAAGTCACCGAAGTGGCACACATTAAAAACCGTGCTCTTCTTTTAGCGTTTACTATTTAGTGTGTTGGTATATTAATGCTGTCTTCTAGACCTGTTTTAAAGTCATTCATTCAGTGAACTCATCTAGTAATGACTTTCATATTTTCTCTTCAACATTCTGTTTAATTTGTGTAAGAAAACATAGCTTTGCATTTTCATTAAATTTATTACTCTAAGCGATAGTAATTAATTGTTTTGCAGCTAGAACTTTATTTTGGTGGAGATGAAGCCAATAATTTTGTTGGTTTCTATAGTCCAAGGAATGAACTAAAAGCACTGCAATCAGTCCTTTCAGCCACTGATGAGGCACTGCTCAGCAGCAGAAATGCTAATGCAACTGTATTACAAGAGCTACGGAAAGCAACTGTTGATGTGATATCTGAGTGCTCAAATAGAATTAGAGAGGACACTAAAATTTGCTCAGGGTGTAGAATAGAAAGGGAGAACTCTTTGTTGCAGTGGGGTGAAAGGAATGGTGTGATGTCAAATTTGAGGATAGCTTGTAAGTTATTAATTGATCAAAATGCATTTCCATGGAAGATAAATCTCATACAAGTAATTCATTCATCTTTCCAAGTATTTAAAATTTTACATAAAACTGGGGGGGGGGGGGGGGGGGGTTCTATGATGTGTTGACAGTCCCATTTTGTTATGTTGGCAAATAGCCAGGTAATTAAAAGAGAGTGGAGTCCGCTTTGCCTACCCTCTTATTTGAATGTAAAACACCAGTGCATTCATATGTCATACTGGGAAAGAAACATTATGCGAGACTTCATCTCTTATTCTTACCAGTAGAGGAAAAGCAAGGAAGATAATTCAAACTATTCTGATATAGCTGTATCTACAGGTGTCGAAGGAGCGGGAAGAGGCGCCATAGCAACTCAAGACCTGAACGTTGGAGACATTGCACTAGAGGTCCCCATATCTGTTATCATATCTGAGAGCATTGTGCATGAATCTGACATGGTACATACCTTTGTTTTTACTATATTTTGAAAGTTATGAATTTTTCCTAATATCCCTTTATGCTCATTAAAAATGTATATTTTGATCTCCCATAAGCAATTAAGTTTCTTGCACAAAATATGTATGCTGTTAACTAGGGGCTTTGACTTGCATTAGTTTAACAACCTCTCTCTCTCTTCTAGGACAGTATTCTATTCTTAAAGGAGTAGATGGGATGTCCTCAGAAACAATGCTGTTATTGTGGAGCATGAAGGAGAAGCACAACCATGACTCAAAATATAAGTTATATTTTGATACACTGCCTGAGTCATTCAAGACAGGTTTGTGTTGGCTAGTTCGCAAATACCTCGAATCTAAATTTTCAATTATTTAATCTTTCTGTTTCATTCTGAAATGGATATCACTTAGTTTTGTGCATGTTATAGCTTTTCAAATCTGACTTATTATTGAAATGCCTCTTAACTAAAAGTATTATAGATAGAATGCATTACTTTCATCTCTAGATAAAAGTGCAGTGAACTCTTATTGAGCTGAAAATATTTAGAACCGAAACACCCAATCTGAAATATGTCAACGAATCAAACTTATATTGTATATGAAAATGAATATGTATTTTATGTCGATGAGTTTGTAACTTTTGATTTAAGCTGAGATGCCTTGTTGGCTACTGTTTGGACATTTGCTCAAAGGATCTCAAGTACTCAAGCTGGTACTCCCAGAGCCGTGCTTCGCTGACCATGTGAAATGTGACCAGGTCCACCCATGGCATTGCTACAGTTTGCTGATCAATGGAAAACCGCTTAAAACGCTTAAGCCAGCCTAATGGATTGTCCGTGCTATCGAAGGACAGTCCAACTTCAAACTGTGTGGGACTAAAGGTGCCTCCCTCCAAGGCCGCGTGCTGCTGTGGATGCAGAATTTAGGACATCTAGCCTGAGCTTCGGAGTTGTCGGAATAGATTAGGCGAGTCGCCAAAACTGCTGTTATTAGGACCAAAATCTTCCCCTCTACCGTGTCTCCTCTGCCTTTGAAATAGACCTCATCTAGGCTGCCTTGACATTGTGTATTTGTGTTATGCTGCTGTCCATGAAAGTCTTAATGGTATCCAGGCTAGTATCATCATCCTATGTGATCCTGGATTCTGATACTGAATTGTTAGCGGCAAACATACAAGATGTCATTCAAGGCCTTAATTACATTGGAAAAGCCTACGGGCAAGGCAAAAAGAATGGGATTTTTTAAGGGTTTCCCGGATTACGCAATTTGGAAAGTTGTATTCTGAACTAAGTAGCATGGAAACGTAAAACGGGAAACAGGAAACGCGAGAAACGTAATTTCTAAAAAATATAGGATACAAAATGTGGGGGGTAACGCGTAAATATTATAAAATATAAGGATATATTTATAAATATTTTTTAATATATGTACACAAGTTTTTCCATATAATTTGTTAAGTAACCAAAAAATAAAACCACTCTACATGTTCGAATTTAGATATCATTTCATATTAGAACATAATTAAACATAAAATGTACGGAGTAATATATTTCTAGCAATACATTGTGTTACGAAATGTAACAAGTGTTGCTGCTGAGAAATACCACAAAAATTCACTATTACAAAAAAATATTTTCCAAAACAGAATTTTTAAAAAAGAAAAAAAATGGAATCCGAGGTTTCCGAAACGTAGTGAAACGGGTTTCCAAATATTTCTTGGTTACGGAAACGGCCCCGAAACGGGAATTTGAAGTTTCCGAGTTTCCGAAACGCTTCCGAGTTTCCGAAACGTGGAAACATGAGCCGTGTAGAGTTTCCGTGCTTCATAGATTCTGAATGAATTAGGGATTCTATGGAAAAGAACCCATTCGGAATTGCCTTTTCCAAATGTCATTTTTTTAGTTTTTTCTTAACTCATTCAGATTCCCCTATTCCAAATGAGGGCATTAAGATGGGTGGATAGAAAATGTGGGGGCGAGACAAAAAGTAAAATTTCATTTTCCTTTAGAGTGTTGTAACTTTTAATTTGTGCTCCAATTTTTAGAAAAAATATATCAACATTCATAACATTTTATGATCCTTCATATGGCACCAAAATTGCATATATAGAGTTCAAAAAATAAAGTTTCAAATGCACGAAGGTTTAAGATCCATTTTTTTCTTAAATAGATTGAAGTGCTAAAATTAACATCTCATTGTTAAAAAATTAAACAACAACAACAACATTACCCCAGTGCCGTAAGGCTCCCACCTATGGTGGGGTAAGGGATGATCTTATTATTTGTGTCATATGAAAGATCATAAAATTTGTGAATTTTGATATACTTTTGTAAAAATTAGAGTAGAGATAAAAAAGTTACAACACTTTAAACAAAAATGGGATTTTAGCATTTTTGTTTAGGAAGTGTTGTATTTCGGAATAGGTATTTCTGAATAGCATTTTTTCCTTCTAAATCCTATTTCATTCGGAATTAAGCTTTCTGAATACCATGTTTTCATACCCTAAACCAAAGTCCCGTATTTTTGCAGGGGAGTTTCAATACTCCTGTATTTTTATAATTGTCTCAGAGAAGGAAGCTATGGCTTTTTTAAGAAGAATAAAACCTTCTCACCCTCGGCAGAGAATGACATGTTCTGGCACAGAATTGTCAAGACACAAAATTGCTGCTTCAATGATAGATTTTTATTATGTTCTGGCTTTCTCGAGAGACAAAATTGCAACTTTAAAGATAGACTATTATTCCAAACCACAATCCCTTATTTAGGCTACTACAGGAGTCCAAAGCTTAAAAGGGAATAAATCTGCAAAGCTATACAGCTCTACTAAGCAATGACTTACTATAAACTAATATTATTATAATAGGAAACTGAATAATTAGTTTCTAAGATTTGTTCTTCACTTCTGCACCCAATCTTTTCGCCTGACCCTGACCTTCGCCATGTTTCTGATACCACTATCTAATGAGTGTCCATAACCGGGCCACCCACATTGAACACCAGGATTGCCACACTGGCTAGTAGTGATACTTTCGCGCCCCATGTGTGTACTAGTAACTTCAAGTTCCTTTCTTGACATCCTTGGGGCCTGGACTCAATGCCGGCCTCACAACCATAGAGAAATATGCAAATACCAAGTGTCCAGTCCACTTCTTCTCAACCTTTTGATTGACTTGACATTTTCCTTCGACTGACAAAATGTAGTTCCACCATCACAAGCCTGGCTCCATGCTCAACTGTTTTAATCCTTTTTGCTGTGCATACCCTATTGTTTCGTATTTTTTAACCCTGTGATGCCAGCCTCATACGCATAATATCGTTACTGAACCCATGTATTACATTATTGTGCTCCTCGGGTTCATGACACCAACACCTACATTTGGAATTGGTGGCATACTGGCATTATGATTGTGAAAGACATTGGAATATGCTGTATAATATGCTTTAGAATATTCTTCTATCTTTAGAATATGCTTTAGAATATTTTAGGAATATACTCTAAGATATTATTATTGTATAGCATCTTATAGGAATATTCTATCTTTGTAATGTATATATATAGGGACTTATCCCTCCAATGATATACACAGAAAATTCTTCCATTCTCATTACTATTATATGCTAAATTCTAATAACATGGTATCAGAGCTTCTTATATACACAGACTCCATTTCAGTTTAGTTCCTTTTCTTTTAGATTTTAGCTTAGTTTTTCATACTGGGTTCTTCCTCAAAGAAACCTGAGTTCAGTTCAGATTCTTGAGAACCTCTAGGCACCATTCTGTCTCCCAGAAACTCACCCCAGGACAGATTTATTTTAGCCCTCTCTATTCAGAATCTCTGCCAGGTCCGACCATCTACCCGGCGAATTTCCGACTCCGACAATTACTCATTCAGTCTGTGGACATACGCACACTATTTCATGTGGCTGATTATTCGTTGGGGTCTGGCATCTGACTTATGTATGGAGTAGCAGTCAAAGCCCAAGCAGATTGTATCTTTTGTTCTCAAGCCCAAAACGGGCTGCTGTAAGTTCTCATTAAATTAAATATCTCAATTTTAAACTTTATTGCGGTCTCAAAAAAAAAAAATGCCTGGTTCTGACACTGACACCTCCGCAGTAACACGAAGTCAGCCTTTGATAGTTTCTGAAGTTATTCCCATTAATTTTAAAATTACTGAGAATAAACTTTGGGGCTCCAATTATCTTGAATAATGGAGTAAAACTATCAAACGTTATTTAAGGAGCATTGATAAATATACCCACTTACTTGATGACCCGCCAAAGGAGGAGGTTGATAGAGCTACTAATACTGTCTGGCTTCGTGACGATTCTAGATTATTTATCCAGATTCAAAACTCAATGGAGAATGAGGTAATGGGGTACGTTAGTCATTGCGATACTGTGAAAGAATTGTTTGATTATTTGGAATTTATGTATTCTGGAAAAGGTAATCTTAACCACATCTATGAGGTGTGCAAAGCCTTTTACAGAGCAGAAATGAAAGATAAACCTCTCACGGCTTATTTTATGGATTTCAAGAAAACCTATGAAGAGCTGAATACATTAATGCCATTTAATCCTGATATCAAAGTGTAGCAGAAACAAAGAGAACAAATGGCAGTGATGAGTTTTTTGGCTGGTCTAACATCTGAATTTGAAACAGCCTAATCACATATCTTATCTAGTGATGAGGTCTCTTCTCTTCAAGAGTCTTTCACTAGAGTGCTTCGCACCGATACTTCATCCACACCATTAGCACCTCAGTCAAGCAATGCATTTGTAGGGCAAGTTCCGACATTCACCAGAGGAGGTGAGAAATATCCACGTACTGGTCCATCTGGCAAAGGCATAGTATGCAACTATTGTAAAAAGCCTGGACACTTGATCAAAGATTGTAGAAAATTAAAATTCAAAAATCAAGGAAATCAGGTTGCTCACATTGCTTCCGTTACACAGTCTTCTGATGGATCAATAAGTATGTCTTCTGAGGAATACGCCAAATTTCTTTGCTACCAAGAGACTCTAAAGCATTCATCTACTCCTATCTCAGCTGTCGCTAATTCAGGTAATCCAAACACATGTCTTGTGTCTTCATCCTCAAAATGGGTTATCGATTCAGGGGCAACAAATCATATGACAGGTAATCCTAGTCTTTTTTCCTCATTCCACACACCTCTTCATACTTCTAATGTTACTTTGGCTGACGGATCTACGTCACCAGTTCTTGGAACGGGTACAATTGTCCCAACACCTACCTTACCTTTGTCACCCGTCCTAAGTCTTCCAAACTTTGCCTTTAATTTGATTTCGATCAGCAAAATCACACGTAATCTTAATTGCTCTGTAACTTTTTTTCCTGGATATTGTGTTTTTCAGGATCTGGTGACGAATCGGGTTATTGGTAAAGGATATGAGTCGGCTGGTCTCTATCTCTTGGATACATCCTTACCCAAATCCATCTCTTGTCTTGGAGTTGGAACTGTGTTAGAGGCTCATTATCGACTAGGCCATCCCTCTCTCCCGTTGTTAAAGAAACTTCATCCTCAGTTTAATAAGGTGTCATCTTTACAGTGTGATTCATGTCAATTTGCAAAACATCATCGAACTAGTTTAAGTCCCCGAGTCAATAAACGAGCACATGCTCCTTTTGAACTTGTTCATTCTGATGTTTGGGGCGTTTGCCCTGTTGTGTCCAAAACTGGTGTTAAGTATTTTGTTACCTTTGTTGATGATTATTCTCGTATGACTTGGATATATTTCATGAAACGTCGTTCTGAGTTATTTTCTCATTTCTGTGCCTTTTGTGCTGAAATTAAAACTCAATTTAATGTACCTGTTCGTATTTTAAGGGGAGACAATGCTCAAGAATATTTGTCTTCCTCATTTAAGTCGTATATGGCTCAACATGACATCATTCATCAAACTTCATGTGTAGACACACCTCCACAAAATGGAGTTGCTGAACGAAAGAACAGACATCTATTAGAAACTGCGCGGTCTCTTCTATTCCAAATGAATGTGCCTAAACAGTTTTGGGCAGATGTTGTGTCTACCGCATGTTTTTTGATCAATAGAATGCCATCTACTGTTTTGGATGGTAAAACTCCATATCAGTGCCTATTTCCAAATAATGAAAATTTTCCTATCCCTCCTAAAATATTTGGTTGCACTTGTTTTGTACGAGATGTTAATCCCCATTTAACAAAGTTAGATCCCAAGTCATTAAAGTGCATTTTCTTAGGCTACTCTCGAGTTCAAAAGGGTTACAGATGTTTTTGTCTATCTTGTTTCAATTGATGTCTCCTTTTATGAAAATACACCGTTTTCATCAACAGAGACAAATATTTGTAGGGAGAATGATGATATACTCATTTACACAGTCACTATACCCGAGTCCACTGCTTCAGCCGTTGTTCCACATGTTACTTTTCCTGAGCCTAGGCCCCCGGTACACTTGGTCTACACCCGTCGAAACAAAGTACAAGATCACCCTCCACCTGTGGTTACTTATCCTGATACTGATCCGGTCTCGATCTCATGTCCTGAACCAATACTTGCATCTCCAGATCCTGCCTCTACATCAGATCTTGACCTCCCTATCGCACTACGCAAAGGTACACGGTCTTGTACTCATCCTATTTCTTCATTTGTGTCGTATAATCAGTTATCATCTACCTCATGTTCTTTTATTGCTTCCATTGATTCTATTTCTGTTCCCAAATCTGTTAAAGACGCTTTGTCTCATCCTGAATGGCGTCATGCCATGGTAGAGGAAATGAATGCTTTGGATCTTAATGGTACTTGGGATTTGGTAGACTTGCCTACAAGGAAGAAATCTATTGGATGTAAGTGGGTCTTTGCTGTAAAGGTTAACCCTGACGGATCCGTTGCTCGTTTAAAAGCCCGATTAGTAGCGAAGGGTTATGCTCAAACCTATGGTGTTGATTATTCTGACACTTTTTCTCCTGTTGCTAAATTAACATCTGTCAGGTTACTTATTTCTCTCGCTGCAACTAATGGTTGGCACTTACATCAGTTGGACATTAAAAATGCATTCTTGCACGGTGATCTTCAAGAGGAAGTTTATATTTAGCAACCTCCAGGGTTTGTTGCTCGGGGGGAGTATGGAAAAGTGTGTCGACTTCGCAAGTCTACCAGGGTTTGAAACAGAGTCCCCGTGCATGGTTCGGGAAATTCAGTCAATCAATTGAACGATTTGGAATGATAAAGGGCAAATCATATCACTCTGTATTTTACAGACGAACAAAAGCAGGTATCACATTGCTTGTGGTGTATGTCGATGATATTGTGATTACAGGGAGTGATAATGCAGGTATTTTGGCTCTTAAGAATTTTCTTCATAGTCAATTCCAGACGAAAGATTTGGGCTCATTGAAATACTTCTTGGGGATTGAGGTTATACAGAGCAAGAAAGGCATATTTCTATCTCAACGTAAATATGTGCTTGACTTGCTAACTGAAACAGGGAAACTGGGGGCAAAACCGAGCAATACTCCCATGATTCCCAATGTGCAGCTCACTCATGAAGGCGTACCCTTCGAAGATCCAGAAAGATATAGAAGGTTGGTTGGAAAGCTTAATTATCTCGCAGTTACTCGTCCAGATATTGCATACTCAGTGAGTGTAGTAAGTCAATATATGTCATCTCCGACAGTTGATCATTGGAATGCTGTAGAGCATATATTATGTTACTTGAAGGGGACACCAGGACGAGGTATTGTTTATCAAAATCATAATCACATGCGCATAGAATGCTTTGCAGATGCTGATTGGGCTGGATCTAAAGATGATAGAAGATCCACATCTGGCTATTGCGTCTTTGTTGGTGGTAATCTCGTCTCTTGGAAAAGTAAGAAGCAGAATGTGGTTTCTCGTTCGAGTGCTGAATCAGAATATCGGGCTATGGCACAATCGGCATGTGAGATAATCTGGATAAACCATCTATTGAGTGAAATCGGACTGAAGACACCAATGCCTGCTAAACTCTGGTGTGATAACCAGGCTGCTATACACATTGCCAACAACCCAGTGTTTCATGAGAGAACAAAACATATTGAGGTCGATTGTCACTTTGTTCGAGAAAAGATACAACAAAGATTGATCTCTACAGGATATGTGAAGACGGGAGAGCAACTTGGAGACTTGTTCACTAAAGCACTAAATGGAATTCGTGTTGGTTATTTATGTAACAAGTTGGGCATGATAAATATCTATGCTCCAACTTGAGGGGGAGTGTGAAAGACATTGGAATATGCTGTATAATATGCTTTAGAATATTCTTCTATCTTTAGAATATGCTTTAGAATATTTTAGGAATATACTTTAAGATATTATTATTGTATAGCATCTTATAGGAATATTCTATCTTTGTAATGTATATATATAGGGACTTATCCCTCCAATGATATACACAGAAAATTCTTCCATTCTCATTACTATTATATGCTTAATTCTGATAACAATGATCATAATAACTTTTTCCACTTGAATGAATATTAACATGACATGTGTTTTATAAAGTTATTTTCCATCAAGATGCATGTTGTAAATTCAACCTGCAAATCATGGGCATGCTCATCTCCTGTGTTTAGAGTGGTGTTTAAAATTTAACTGCACCTAATGTGACCACTTTTTATAGTTGCACAATTGTGTTTTCCAAAAACACTTGCTCGTCACATTTGTTTTAGATTTTTGTTTTTGTTATGTAATGACAGGTTTGAGTTTTGGGGTTGAAGCTCTCATGACATTAGATGGAACCTTACTATTAGAGGAAATAGCGCAAGCAAAAGAGGTTTTTTTCTTTTGTAAAAGTGTCACCTTTATTTAAATCTTACGAGATATGTATTTACTATCTATTGACATATAGATAAATTAATTCTTTTTTATGAACTTTTTCTCCTATGTGTTGCCTATGGGTCAGAGTATTTATTTTCATGAACTAACCATTTAGTATTATTATTGTTTTTATTATTATACTCTGAATAAAGTACAATTTTAAGAGTATGCAACCACAAAGAAAGATCAATACAAATAAAGGAAAATGATTATTTCCTTCCCTGTTTGTCCATTGTCTCACCTAAGTGACCTAACTTCTACACTTATCATGATATGTTTCTTAAGAAAATCCTAATGAGCACTATGGTTTTATGTAATTTGAAAATTCAAAACTGATTTATTAATTTAAGTTTTGTAAAGATATGTATGGGACATTGGTTATTTAAATAACTAACGTTAAAAGATAAATATATATTTTACATGTATACTATACTACGACTTCTCTTACCCAAACCACCAGGGGCGGAGCCAAGGGGGGGTCAGGGTGATCAGCCGACCCCGCTGAAAGTTCAAGATTGTAGAGCTCTGAAATACCTTCGATTTGATATATTATGGGTCCCGTAACTCATTACGAGTAAAAAGTTATGACTTCTTGAAAAATCAGCAAAATGCTAATTTGAAATAAGCAAAATTTGATATGTGACGTTGATTATATTCTTAAATTTAAAAATAAAATACTTTATTCAGTCAATAGTTATGTGAGCATTATGATACATTACATATATATCAATACATTAACCGAAAAATGCTCATTAAACTACCATTTATCTAAGCTACATATAAAACATTTAACTCAAGTATTGTATAATAAGTAATAACTATCCATCATTTTGATAATGTATATCATTAAATTCTGACCCCCCTCACACGTTTTTCTGGCTCCGCCCCTACAAACCAGCACATATGTTGAATTAATTATTTTTATAAAAGTGTAACTGGGTATTTAGAATAATATTCCTTTTACCCAAACTTTTATTCTTAAAAAAATGACTCAACTTTTTCAAATGTCATAAAGTGCTTTTGCTCGATGTAGAGCTTGAAAACAATAAGCATTTTTAGGAAAGGATATTATCTAAATGATTAAATGCCTATGGTGATGGTTCTTTCAATACTCAATGTTATAGATCTTATAGAAAAAATAAATTTTACATATCATGTTGGTAACAAAAACCTTCGTAAAATAGCATTTACTTTTTGATAAAAAACAATTTAACTTTTAACAGCTGTTATTTTAAGTAACCTACGTCATATCTAAAAAGAGAATTTAATGTATATTTCAGTTTTGGGATCTACAAGTTATGTACATTTGAAGTTATAAGTGGGACTAAAACTGCTATCATGAAAGTTTCGTGGGACTAAAACTGCTTCCATGAAAGAAAGCAAGAGACAAAATTTGGTCATATATAGAAAAAGGACTAAAATGGCTATACTAATGTAACTCATGGGAAAAAATCGCCCTTAAATATAATATTGAGAAAGACATAGGAGTTACTTTTGAATGGAATATTTGAAGTAAATGATCAATGTGATACTTCCACATTGGGCGGCCTAGAGTGAATTAGTGAAATGCTATGGAGATATTGTTTTTTTAACTGGGAAGGACGTGGAGTGTAAATGGGTGAGGGTGGGGAGGGATTGTTTTTTTTTAATAATATTTCTTGCCATCTAAGAGACTCCATAATTTCCATCATTTGCAATGGAGTCAGACTCACTATTTTTTGGCTTGGGAATATGATGAAATAAAGCAAGTGGCTCACTAAACTGTCTGTGCTTCTTTGTTATGTAGCAGCAGTCAGTCCATGCAATTTTCGACGCAATTTTCACTATGGGTCATCCGAAAACAGTCTCTCTGTGCTTTAGTACAGGGGTAAGGCTGTGTTCATGCGACCCCCCCTACCCCACCGTAGGTGGGAGCCTTTGCGGCACTGGGATAATGATGATGATCTAAGAAACTCCATAATTGGAGCCTTTGCTTGTCAAGCGGTTTTAGCATTACAATTGTTCTCTCTTATGTGGACTTCACCATACCACATTATCTTAGTGTTGCATGATTACATTTTGCAGCATTTACGGTTACAATATGATGAGTTGTTCCCGGCACTCAGCAATGATCACCCTGGTACATTTCCTCCAGAGCTTTACACCTGGAAGCAGTTCCTATGGGCTTGTGAACTTTGGTACTCCAACAGCATGAAGATAATGTTTAGTGATGGAAATCTAAGAATGTGCTTGATTCCTATTGCTGGATTTCTGAATCATTCGGTCAGTGTAAATACACCATTTAGCATTATCGTCGTGATATTATCAAAGAATCACTGTATTGGATATACGAAGGATGTTTTTACTTGGATTGTTTTCAGTCCCAGGCCAGACCTAAACAGACTAGACTAGACCAGACTTCCATAGTTATAAAATACACAGAGAGGCCAGAGATTTACCAGAACAGTTCAGACCAGACCAGACTTAAACAGACCAGACCAATAAATTTCAGTCCAAGTAAAAACATCCTAAATATCACCAAAATATTGAGCAGTTTATCTTTTAATTATTTATTTTCATAATAAATCATGAAAATATATCAATATAATGTATCTTATAATGTATCTTTAATATGTGTTCTTTGAGATGCCTAGAGTCCTCCAACTACATTACAAGAAATGCATTCAATAAGTTTGCATGTGATGACTCAAAAGAGGCTATATACTAGTGTTATCTAATCAAGTGTTTTTATAATTCTTCCGTTTCATAACATGGTATTTGAGCCATCTTTGTGACCTTTCACCAAATCTTGTAACTATTTACAAAAGATCAAGTTTTTCCTCTTTTTACTTGTAAGTTCTATTAGAATATTATTTTTTTAGGAGATCATAGCTATGAACTAGAATTTCAACAAATCAGGGTTCAGCAGAAGGGTATAAAAAGTTCACTTTCTAGCTCTATTGTACTTTTGGTCCTCATCTATTCTCAAAGCATAAATTTCAAGCTGGTGAAGCTGTGCATTTCTCTCTCTATCATTATAAATCACTTGTAGCTGCTTTCAGTGTAATTCGTTGGGTGGTCCACCAGTTTCTTTGTTTTACAATGACTTCAACAAACTATATAGCCAATTAAGCTCTTAATTATGTCTTCCTCATTGGAAGCCTTAGGGTCCTTTGATTTGGAAGTTTCCTTGACCTGTAAGAGTGCATCTACTCCATCCTTCTGCCCCTTGATGATAGACAACCATATGTTGCATGTTGTTGCACAACACATCTAGCACAACCATGGTTGATCATCTAAAGTTTCAAGTCAAAGTAGTGTCAAACCGGTGTAGTAAACTTGTTTATGCTTACTAAATTATACGGAGTAAGAACTAGTTAAGTAATAATGTCTCCTATTTAGCATCAAGTAAGAATATTCCTATATTCTATTTAGTAAACACAATACCAGTCATGGTGCCAACAATGGTGGAGGTCGCTGGCAAGAGGAGGTGTCATCTGTAGTGGCGGGTTCTAAACCAGTGGCAGTGATCGCCAACCGGTGAAGTAAACTCGTTTTTTTTAATTCTGGAAACTAGCAAGTAAACGTCTTTACTAATTGACATGAATTAAACCTTATTTGTAGTACAATGCCAGTCATTCGCTATAAGAAGCTCGAAAAGTGCAGTCAAAGGTTGTATTTCAAGCAATAGTCACCTTAAACAAGTACACGCTACAAACACTAGCAAAATATTCCTGAAGCTGTGTATGCACTCCACAAATTTAACAGTAAATGCATTTTTTCACACGAAAAGACCTTGTAGCATAGTTATCGCCCTATTTCTTCAATTCCTTGATACCCAAGTCAGGACCCGAAGACATTATTTAGTTAGCAAGCTCGTTGGTTTATTGAACATTCATTGGTCTAGGTTTAATTGTAGAGCTAGGTGGTTGCTTGGTTGTTGATAAATAATAGGAAAAATTGACAAGAATAATCCCACCTTTCACTGGTCTTCTCATAATAATCCCACCTTTAAATAATCCCAAAATAATCCCACCTTTGCACCTCATCTTCTTTCATTGGACCCTGACCAAGTGTTTTACCTTTTTTTAAAAATCTTATATAAATAATCTCACATTTATAAGGATATAATTAAAAAGTGAAAGGTGAGGTTATCTATATAATTTTCAAAGAAAGAGTAAAAAACATGGTCAGGGTCCAATGAAAGAAGATGAGGTGCAAAGGTGAGATTATTTTGGGATTATTAAAAGGTGGGATTATTATGAAAAGACCAGTGAAAGGTGAGATTATTCTTATCAATTTTTCCTAAATAATATATGCCTGCACTGCCAGAGTTCCTGGCACATTGACAAAAGTGATAAGTGCTAGTGATGGATTATATGGCTTCTTGAGGATATGGTAAAAAATCGCACTCAAGGCTCAACCTCTGAAACTGTGATAACCTGGTGGGTTGATCTGGTTAATGACGCCATAATTGTATTTTTACGTGACAATGTCATTATTTAGAGGCGATTTTCACTATGGGTCATCCGGAAACAATCTCTCTGTGCTTTAGTACAGGGGTATGACTGCGTACATCCGACCCCCCCCCCCTTACCCCACCAGAGATGGGAGCCTTTGCAGCACTGGGGTAAATGAAAATGATGATGACAATGTCATCATTTTCTGTTACTACTGATTGAGTGTAGCTAAGTGGTAACTATGCAAAAGAATTTGAATGCTGATTTCCGTTTATTTATTTAAATAGACGTTTGCACACGTAGTGAACTATGGAAAAGTTGATTCTGTGACGAATACCTTGAGGTTTCCTTTATCAAGACCATGCAGCAAAGGAGAACAATGTTTCTTAAGCTATGGGAACTTCTCCAGTTCTCATCTACTTACTTTCTATGGTTTCTTGCCACGGCTAGAAAATCCATATGATGTTATCCCACTAGGTAAGCTTTGCTACTCATACATGTACATTTGAGATAATTTCTTTGTGCTTCAGAATGTTACAAGTATGTATTATATAGCAGATATTGATATTGTCATGGATGAAGATTTTGAGGAGGGGGGATTTACCCCTGGCTGGACATCGCACATGGTGAGGGGTACATGGTTCTCAAAAAACCATGGAATCTTCCACTATGGATTGCCATTTCCTTTATTAGATCATATGCGTAGAGCTCAGTGTGCTTCATTAAAAACAATAGCCCTGGTGAGTTCCTTTTCCTTTTTTCACCTCTTGTGTTTATGATTTTTCTTGGAGTCCCTTCTTGAGATTTTCCCCGAAGTACCGATACGGTAACAAGGGAACATGGCATATTAAAATACCGGAGTAATAATAATAACATACTCCCTCCATACCGCTAAGATTGTCCCAGACACTATTCACTTGGTCAACACAAATCACTCTTAATCACGTACTTTGTATATCAATTTTTTATGAAATTTGATTCGGGTTTTTGCGACTTTGTAAAGCTTTTGATGTAGTTTCTGAATATGTAATTTTTTTTCTAAAAATATTTTGAGAGCGGACAGGGATCTGTTTGCTTTATCGTCGGTCAAGCATCGTAAACCGAATTGTCCCAATCTTAGTGGGACGGAGGGAGTATAAGCCAAGGACTCAGCATGATAAAATAAAATAAAAAAATATAACAAAATGTAAAATGCAGTGTTGATATTTAGATAAATGTTAAAACCAACAAGTATTCAGTTTAGATAAATTAAAATACCACTATTTAAACAATAATTGGATCTCAGCAGTGACACAATCGTGCCCTAGACGTCGACTGTCTCCTAACCCATTGATCACATGTCTGGTCATCTAAAGGCCATGTGGTGTGTCCAGCACATGTCCGTGTGTCTGACACATGGACAGCCATTTTGAAGTGTATGAAAAAATTGCTTAAAACCATTCATTGCTTACAGACACCTGAAAACTTGGAAATTGAACTAGAAATACTTGGAGATCTTTGCTTGACCTTTGAAGCAATGATGGAATCACTTGGAGATGCTGATAACGATGAGCAGTAAGTAGATACTACCCTCCGTGATATCATTTCAGAAGAGATGCCAATGTGAGTTGTGACTGATCTAAGCAAACATTTCTCTACTTTTACAGGGTTAACGCAGGGTGGGATATAAAGCTTGCGGTTGAATTTAAAGACCTACAACGAAGAATTGTTTCCTCCGTTGTAAAATCATGCAAAGCTGGTTGTGAGTTGCTAGAATTCGAACTACAAAAATGTATTTCGTAACATTGAGGTTAAGCTACTGAATACGATTTCCCCCCCCACCCCCCACCCCCCACCACCCTAATCCAAGGGACATCATGGAGAATAAGAGTGATCAATTATTTTAGACCATGATGAAGCATGAATGGGAAATAATTTATTTGATACATTTGTTCTAATCCTTGACCTAGTCAGCCAAAGATCTTTTACTCAGAACTATTATTTTCTTTCTTGATTTTTGCTGCTCGGATTCAACTAGGCCTGGGACCGGTTCGGTTCCTAGGCCAAATATGTGGAACCGTTTGAAAATATGAAATTTTACTAACGGTTCGGTTCTTATAAATTATTTTATAGAACCGATAAGGAACCGAACCGTTCTTAACGGTTCGGTTCTTGTCATTTAACGGTTCCTAGTCTTCAAAAAAATTCTTACAAATCATGACTAAATTTTTGCCAAAAAGACATTCTACGTTTGAAATTACGATACAAATATGCTTAAACAGTTAAAGAGAATAACAATTTTAAATACTTGGACCCTCAAAGTTCCGACCCACTGGAGTTTGGACCTAATGAGATGCCTAAGAAGCCTAAGAGAACCGGTTGAAGTGAATAATAGTTTTAAATAGTTGAATAACTAAACAAAAATAATGAATGTAATATAAAAATAAGTAAGTAAATATACATTAAAATATATGTGCTCATAAGAAATATATATAATTTTAATTATTATATATAACGGTTCCTTAACGGTTCCTAGTACATATTTTTTTCAGGAACCGAGAACCGAACCATTAATAAAAAATAGGAACCGAACCATTAAAAAATAACTAATAAATGTTGGAACCGAACCGAACCGGGTCATAACGGTTCGGTCCGGTTCGGTTCTCCGGTTCTTGGTTCCAAAGTCCCAGCCCTAGATTCAACTCCCACTTTCGCTGCAACTGTTAATATAACTAATAACTATATGAATGACCGTCTTGTGGGGCCATAGAATTGGCAAATTAGTTTTTTTTGTGTGATAGAAATGTATGCTGTACGCAGTACGCATGATAAGCTTCAATCATTCAATGTAAATATGTCATTGTTTTATTTGCAGAAAATGAAGCAAAGACTACAACCCAAAGAGGCGCAACAAAGTAAAATACATGAACAATGTTATCAAATAGATCAATCTATAGCTAATGGTTCCCTTCTAGTAATAAATGCTCCACAACCCCATATTTTACTACATTTACCAAGTAATCGAGTCTAAGATTGTTCAGTCAAATTGCCACACTAATATAAGAGGTTTTCTTGAATAAATGACTACTAGATTTTGAAGTTTATTCCCTTTGCCTTCGTTTGTCCACATAAAAATCTGCAAGCTGATGATAAAGACAGACTGTTAAATTGCGTGTCTATTGATTGCACAAAGATTCATAAGGTGGTCTGTTTGTAAGTTGCACAACTAAAATCACGTCAACCATTTCCAGGAATCTCATAGCCTTGTTTGTATCTTCTTGTCAGATGTAACCATTTCCAAGCATTTTATCATTACCTTTCCTGACCATTGGTTTTTATTTTAGTTTCAGTAGATTTGGTTTGGAAATTTGGACTTCTGGCATATGTTTGATAGACATATTTCAATCCCGGTTGTTTTAGACTTTAAATTGTCCATTTCGTGTCTAGAGAATCACATTATTTTGTATGAGGTGACTGATTCTATATAGTGCTGGACTCGGGCCGGGCGGCCCGGCCCGGAACCGGCCCGGCCCGGTTACTGTTTGGCCCGGCCCGGGGCCCGGTGGGTCCCTCGGTTCGGTTCAACCCGGCCCGGCTGCTGGGCGGTTCGGGTCCTCCGGGCCGGATTTTAATTTTTTTTTTTTTTGAAATTTTTTTAAGTTTTAGGTTGGACTAGGTATTTTGGGCCATTTGAGGTGGTTTGGGATGGTTTGGGGTTGAGGGGGAGGGGTAGGGGATTAAATAGGAGAACAAAAAAAAATTAATTGGGCCGGTTCGGCCCGGCCCGGCCCGGTTTGGCCCGGAACCGGGACCGGAACCGGCCACCGGCGGTTCGGGCTCGGGCCTCCCTTTCCTGGCCCGAGGCCCGGCCGGGCCCAGGCCCGAACCGGGCCCGAACCGGCCCGAGTCCAGCACTAATTCTATATTTATTTACGGGGCTCATAATTGGATTTGTCATAAGTAGTGCTGGACTCGGGCCGGGCGGCCCGGCCCGGAACCGGCCCGGCCCGGTTACTGTTAGGCCCGGCCCGGCCCGGGGCCCGGTGGGTCCACCGGTTCGGTTCGGCCCGGCCCGGCTGCTGGGCGGTTCGGGCCCGGGCCCAGGTTTTGGTGAACCGGCCCGGCCGGTTCGGGCCCGGTCCGGGCCGGATTTTAATTTTTTTTTTTTTTTTTGAAATTTTTTTAAGTTTTAGGTTGGATTAGGTATTTTGGGCCATTTGAGGTGGTTTGGGATGGTTTGGGGTTGAGGGGGAGGGGTAGGGGATTAAATAGGAGACCAAAAAAAAAAAAAAATTAAGTGGGCCGGTTCGGCCCGGCCCGGCCCGGCCCGGTTTGGCCCGGAACCGGAACCGCCCACCGGCGGTTCGGGCCCGGGCCCTAGTTTTCTGGCCCGAGGCCCGGCCGGGCCCAGGCCCGAACCGGGCCCGAACCGGCCCGAGTCCAGCCATAGTCATAAGTGTCTGGATGTTATCTTGTATTTTTTCTCGATTTTATTATAAAAGCCGATCCTTTATATTCAAAAAATAATAATTATAACACTTCATTTTTTGCAGTTTCAACATAATTGCGACATTTCTATTGTTGGTAATAAAAGACGCCCTTAAGGACTATAATTCTCTCTACTTAACACAAATTTGGTTGCTCAGACACTCAGACACAGAAGCTGTTCTCTTCGCCTGATCTGAATGTTTCTGATCTGAATTTTTTAAGTTCTGATCTGATCTGATCTGAATTTTTCTGATCTGATCTGATCTGATCTGAATCTTTCTGATCTGATCTGATCTGATCTGAATCTTTCTGATCTGATCTGATCTGATCTGAATCTTTCTGATCTGATCTGAATGTTTCTGATCTGGTCTGATCTGATCTGAATGTTTCTGATCTGATCTGAATCCTTCTGATCTGATCTGAATCTTTCTGATCTGATCTGATTCGAATATTTCTATGATTATAATTATAATTATAATTATAATTATTATTATAATTGCAATTACAAATATAATTTAAATAAAATTATAATTATAATTGTAATTATAATTACAATATTTATCTCTATAATTGTAACTATAGTTATCAATATTATTATAATTACTCCATAAAATAATTACAATGGTAATAATAATAATAATATTAATATTAATTATAATAAAAATAATAATTATAATCATAAATTATTATTATAATATAATTATAAGTATAATTATAATTATTATAATTATAATTAATAATAATTATAATTATATTAACATTAATTATAATATTATAATATAATAATAGTAATATAAATACAATTAATATTATTATAACGATATTATTATATTAATATTATTATTACAATAATATAATAATAATATGATTATTATTATAATTAGTATTATATTATTATAATATTATATTATATTTATAATTATAATCATAATTATAATTATGATTGTAATTATAATTATAATTAATTACAATTATAAATATATTTAATTATAGATATAATTATAATAATTACAATTGATTATACTTATAATTATAAGAATTATAATTGTAATTATAATTATAATTACATATAATTATAATAATATTAATCATATTATTATTATTATAATGTTGTCATAATAATAGTCTTCTTAACAATTGCATTTATATTACTATTATTATATTAAAAAATTATAACTATTATTAATATCTTTTTTATCATATTATTATTAATATTATTAATAATAATTATATAATAATAATCATTATAGTAATAACAATAATAATAATAATAATAATAATAATAATAATAATAATAATAATAATAATAATAATAATAATAATAATAATAATAATAATAATAATAATTAATATTTAATATAATAATAAAAGTGAAAAATCATGTTTGAACTTTTCTGATCTGATCTGATCTGATCTGAATGTTTCTGATCTGATCTGAATGCTTCTGATCTGGTCTGATCTGATCTGAATGTTTCTGATCTGATCTGAATGCTTCTGATCTGATCTGATCTGATCTGAATCTTTCTGATCTGATCTGATCTGATCTGAATTTTTCTGATCTGATCTGATCTGATCTGAATTTTTCTGATCTGATCTGATCTGATCTGAATAAAATAAGAATAAGCAATAAGTAATAAGAATAAGACGAACAGAACAGCACCTCAGTCTACCCCGGTCAACACCTATTTGATTGGGTCTTTTACGGGCTCCAACCTTTCATGAACGGAGAAATTAAGTAGTAGTTTGAAACTTTGAATCAACTACTAGAAATAATAGGAAGCGCGAGATTTGTAAAATAGCAGTTTATGGGTAAATTTTGGAGATCCCATATTCCCATAATCCCGATTTTGGATTCAAAGAATCCGAGAAAATCAAAAGTAAAATCATTAAATCAGCTATATTGTAAATATTGGTATAATTATTGAGAGATGTTAATTTCTCAATATATTATAGAGATAATTAGATAAAAACGATAAAGATAAACAAGAGAAAGAAGATACCAAGATATCCATGGCAGCCAAAGAAAGTATGTTAATTTCTTGTAAAAAATATGTCGTTCAAAGACTCGAGAAATCACTATTTGTCCTGAAATAATTGTCTTGCTTTTCTTTTTGTGATGTCCCAAAAAAATTGTCTTATTTCTTCTTTTGACAATAATATATCTCATATCAATTTACTTTTTTTTTACTCAAATCTCAACCATTTTCTAAAACATACGAAGTATGCTAAAGCAAACATACAATTATTTCGGGACAGAAGGAGCGGAAAAGATTTTCTTAGCCATTCAAACAAGGGCAAAGTAGGAATGCAAAATATTTCTATGAATTTTTTAATCTGTGTGCCGATGTCTTTGGTTGCATCTATTTCCAAACGAGTAAAGGGTCAGTTTGGTCCTCGAAGTTGCAAAAAAGGGGTCAAATAAGTCCTTATATAGAAGATTCTGTCCGTACGTGCCATTTGAGGTGGCTCCCGATTGAATTTTTTGATGAAATTTTTTGAGCATCTTATTCATTAAGTCTAGTTTACTCATACCAAATTTCAAATAAAAATTCAATCGGGAAGACATTCAAATGAATTCTTGAAGATAACTGCGCTTTTAACGACACAGTTATCTTCAAGAATTCATTTGAATGTCTTCACGATTGAATTTTTATTTGAAATTTGGTATGAGTAAACTAGACTTAATGAATAAGATGCTAAAAAAATTTCATCAAAAAATTCCACCCGGAGCCACCTCAAATGGCACATCCGGACAGAATTTTCTATATAAGGACTTATTTGACCCCTTTTTTGCAACTTCGAGGACCAAACTGACCCTTATCCCATTTCCAAACGAAGTATATCCAAGTGATTGGTCCAATCTGTAAATGATCTGGTAAATCCAATGTCTTTGATTGCATCTATTTCCAAACGAATATATCCAAGTGATTGGTCCAGACCATAAATGATCTGATAAATCCATAACTTCCTTGAGCTTTAAGAATTTTTAAGAAGGTACAAATGCATCGTGTAAGAGCATCTCCAATGGGAGGGGTGCAATGCACTAATGTGGCATTAGAGAGAGATAGAGATAGAATGAATATTTGAATGAAGTGATGTGTAGGGAAAAAATGAAAAAGAGGAGAAAGGTAGAGATAGAAAATGAACCAAGATCCATGACAAGGTCTATAAATGGACCTTACATGGGATTCGAGGAGGAAAAGTTGATGAAAAGTGGATTAAAAGTAGGGCTGGATTCGGGTCGGGTCCGGCCCGGGCCTAGGCCCGGGCTGGCCGCCGGTTCTAAATAGGTGGACCCGTGACCGGACCGGGTAGCCACCGGGTCCGGTCCGGGCCTCGGGTCATTTTTTTTCCTTTTCCTAATTAACCCCCCCCCCAACCCCCAAATGGCCCAAAATACCCAGCCCAACCCGAAAAGTTAAAAAAATTGAAAAAAAAATAAAAATAAAAAGCCCGAAATCGGGCCCGAACCTGCCGGGCCGGTTCGGCTTTTGGGTGAGCCGAGCCCACACCGGGAACCCCCGGGCCAGGCCTGGTTAAAAGTGATATAAAAAAATGAAAATGAAAATAAATTAGGAAATATGTGTATCCTACACATAAAAAATAGTGAGATAAAAAATGGGACTCATTCGCAAGAGTGTGTAAGAGACCACACCCTTGCATTGGAGTTGCTCTAAGAATGCTTTAATTGACCCAGCAGGATCTAGAATATTGCTTTGAGCAGTTGTTATTTGACTTATTTCACAAGTCTTCTTGTAACAGGAACCAACCATTTCGCATGCCCTAAAACTGACATAGTCAAAGTTATCAGAATTTGCTAAATTTAGCAAAAATAAAATGTACGAACACCAGCAACGCACACAAGATTTTCAGTCAAACTACGTGAGAAGACTGGCAACTTTACATCTGCCTAAAATTGGATTAACCTAGATCCCGAGTAGTTAAATCGCTACGCAGTGGCAATTCGACCAAAGGTTAAGTAGCGAGTAGGACCGATTACTCATTGATTACTCAACCCTGTATTAATAAAAATTTAAAATATAAGTGATCCAAAATTATAGTACGGAGTAATATATTACTCTTATACTACCTTCATCCCTCTTATAGTAATTCATTCTTATTTTATTCGTACTATATCAATTCATATCAACCACACAATTCTGCTTAATTACTGCAACATATAGGGGGGATGGAGTATTTCTTAAATATGAATAAATAATAATCCTAATAATGAAGTAGCAACAAATCCAACAATCACACATATTCTAACTTTCACTTATAATTAACTTTTGTCCGAAAGTAAACCTTCATTGGATTCAAGGTCATTTTCTTCATCCTCCATGCCTCTAAATCTCATTTCATGCCTCCAAACATTGACTGACTTTGTAATCTTATTTTTCCCAAACCTGCGGGTAGAAAACATAAACTTGATGGTTTATTAATTATCATAAAATAGATATTGGATAATGGCCCTGTTAGCAGAGACTTTTGACATGCGAGTAACACTGAAGTTACAGAGTAAATGCAGCAATCTTCAGCTGGGAATTCACATTTCCATGTGTAGTTCCTGCGTTGTAGACTTCTGAGTTGTAACTGATCCTCAGGCAAGTGTGGCTCTCTTTCCTTTTCCATCTCTAGTCTGTAAAACAAATTCACTAAATGAGCAATATAAAATGGAGGGGTATTACCCAATTTGACCAGGGATTAAACCCTCATTTACACCATTACAACAATGGGATTATCCACACAAGTAAGGATGAGAGTTGGTACAAGCCGATGGTCAATACTCTCTGGGGTAAAGCCCAGAGTTCTAGCCTCCACCAAAGAGGCCACTCCGTACACCAATTTATCTGGTCTCATGCCTTGGCGAAGGAATGGGGGAATGCTCAGGGTGAGCAATTTCACCTTTGCTACAAAGGGTTGGTGGACAGGGAAGGGGATTGTGATACACAATTAATTAAGACCTATAAGGGAGAAGACCTGAGAGGCAACTGATCTTTTTGAATCCAAAAACTGGCTGTAGATGTCATATAACCGTAGTTTTTCATTGTCTGAAACAGAAGGCTTTGCCTCGAGCGCAATACGTCTCAAAAGAGCATCATCAATTATAGGCATCTTGCAAGGCTGGGTACCAGTTTGACCATTCAGGTGTTCATGAACAGCTTCAAGCTGTGCATCCGAAAGAAGAGCTTGAAGATCAGCTCCGCTAAACCCGTCAGTCATATCTGCTACTGCATCTAAGTTGACATCACTTGCAAGTGGTAACTGCACATCACAAAGAAAATTAGTAAGCAGCAAGAAATGCAACAGCCATAGTTTTGACTTTTAAGTAATAGGCTGGAAGATATATTAGTAATTACCCTATATAGGACTAAAACTAAACATAAATGCACAAATAGGGCTTAAAGTTTATACCCTCCTATATTAGTAATTCCCATTTGTCTCATGCCTGGGGCTCTCCTCTTGCGCAGCTTACCACTATGGTTTTTCTTTGCCGACAACAAGGGCTGCCGACACCATGGACTTCGCCTCTCCTCTTTGTCACCGCCGATTTTACACCTCTCTGTCGCCGCCTCTGCTTCCACCATCGCCAATCCAGGTTTCTCCTCCTCCTTATTCTTATTCTAATTCTTCTTTGTTCTCCTCTATTCTTTGCTTTAAATAACAGATTATTCTCATTGATATTATTGTTTTTCGAAAGAATCTTCTGGGTTCATGGAAATTTTCCGACTTTGACATCAATTTTTCTGATTTTTGGACATTGACTTCATGTTTCTGAATTCTGATGTTAAATTTATGATTTTCAATAAAAATTCTGGTTTTTCTGATTTTAAATATTGGCTTTACATTTTGCCAAGTTTTTGGCAATTTCATGTAGTACTGGAAATTATATTATGGCAGAAAAACTTGTATTTTTAACATTAGTTTGAAAGTATTACAGTATTGCTAACTTTTATATTATGGAAGAAAAAATTCTTGTTGCTTTTGCCAAACTGTCATTATTATGTTCGTTTTTATTTTGTGAACGAAATAGTTTATTGGTGAAGTAAGATGGCAGTTTTGTCTGTTCAGAACTGACAATAATCACCCGGTGGTGCCTGAAGCGGCGGCGGCGGCGTGCTATGCCGAGAGTGCTGAAGGCAGCAGCAGAAGCTAGGGTTTCAGAATGTATTTGTATTTATATTTTTAAATGTAAAAAGATTTTTTTGGCAAATCTTTCTGACCTATTATAGTATTTGTTCTATGATAAGGCCAACATCTTTGGACTGGGATGGGATTCGAACATGTGACCTCCTCCTTGGGAGTGTCACAGTGATGCCATCAGATCACAAGGACACAAGGTACTTGGTAATTGTAAATAGATTTAGAAATTCATTATGGATAATTTTGTCAAAGTAGAACTACCTCCGTCCCAAACTGATTTGCAAGTTTGACTTTTCTGGGTCAAACAGTTTCATTTGATTCGATTATTTAGGATGTCAATTTTTAACTATATTCTAATTTGGAGTTTGCAACTTTGAAGAGATTTTAATGTAGTTTCTGAATATGTAAATTTTAATTATTAAAAATTGAATTAGTCATCGATACAGAGCATTGACTTTTATTCTTGATTGACCAAAAAATGTTGACTTTGCAAAACAATTTGGGACGGAGGGAGTATATATGTAGTCCTATGAATCATGGAAGTCCTATTTGTGCAATTCTTCATTGTTTTAGTCCTATTTACTTATTTAGGGAATTAACTCAAAATATATCTGCATGATGCATGTACAAGAATAGTTTAGGAACAGAAAAAACATATACTTGGGTGTGAGCAGTGTACGCAAAGAAGGGAAAGATGGTGTCACAGGTGACAGAAAGAGTGTTGTTGATAGTGATAGATTGGCTTGTTCTGACAAAATTAGCAGTGCAGATAACAAAGACTGATTATCCAACAATGGTTTGGGATGTGGGCTGACAACCGCACAGAAAAAATTAACATTTTGGTGGAGGAGCTTCCGGATGTGGGCACCAGGGCTATTGTTGTCGTAGATAGAGAATCAATCACATTGTGAATGTTGTCTGCGATCGATAGCTTTTTACCGAATTGATTGCCACATCCACGCTGCCGGGATATTGACATTCTAATGTCAAACGAATGTCATCTTGAAGCCCAACTGTAAAGAAGTTTACTTGAGTCTGGGAGGGTACGCCTATGATCTGTGCCAATAAACATTGGATATACTCATTTGGAGTACCTATTTGGCAAAGTTTAGATATTTCATCTTCTGGAGATGGAGCCTCAAGACGTATACTCATGGTGCAACAGTTCTCATGAATATTTTTGGTATGAAATCCAGTTGCACAGTAATTGTATCCAGGACGGAATTCAAGTATACCGATACTTGTTGTTCAACCCCGTCATACTACAAAACTTCAATATGTTGAACCGACTTGTCCGCAGACACACAATAAAAATCATACTCATCTCTGAGACAACATAAGTTAGAGACCAAGACATGCAAAGTTAGGGAGCTCATTTTTTTAATTCTTGATTATTAATTTTTCCCCCTTTCTTTTTTCCCCTTCAGACTTGTTTTGAATATATATATATATATATATATATATATATATATATAATACAAAATTACTAAACTCTAATAGAAAATAGCGTCCCTACTGGAGGAAAACAAAACAACACTAACTAATACGAAGTATAGAATAAGGTATGTGGACAAACTTGGAACCTTGCAAATATGGAGTGTAGCCAACCTGTTGCTTGCTTCTGAGTTTAGATACCCAGGAACAGAAAATGCAAAAAATGTTGCTAGGGAAAGATTGCGGCAATGGACCAAGGCATGAAAAAAGTACGTGACAGATTCTCTTTTTTCCTTGGACTTTGCTGGCAGAAAGATAAATAATAGGGTAACCGTATCATTCAGGATATGATGGATATAGGTTTCTCTAGTTTCAGTTCCTAGGTGTTAGTAGACAATAAAACAATGCAAAAAATGGAACAGGATGGAAACAGCTCTGGCACCAGCTTGTTACGGGTGTGGTTGGGAGATGAACAGAAGAAGACTGAAAAGTATGGTAACTAGAAATCAGCACTTCCTGCCATTGGCAAGGAAGTGTCCGCCAGTACCGCCGAACGCACATGAATTCTTCAAAAGATTGATGATCTTATTAATATATATGGCACCTCTATTTATACTAGTCCCAAGAGTCTTGGTGATCTAGTAATAGAGTAAGCCTAATTCTATTAGGATACTTCTATTAGGAATATTAACTGAAATAGAGTAACTATACTAATAGGAAACTACAAATAATAATAGCATTAGGAAACTAACACTTATACTTTAGGGAACTAATAAAAAATTAAAAATATTAATGGATAATAATAGTAGTCATGAGCATCTTCCTTCCATATCAGAACACATGAATAAGAATAAGTGGCAAATGTAAAATCTAACAAACCTTTCTTGAAAGAACTCTAAGAATGTCCGACCTCTCACGTGGTGAGGGAAAATCACAAAATAAAAGACGGTCCAGTCTCCCTGGCCGCAAAAGGGCAGCATCAAGCAAATCTGGTCTACTGTGTAATTAAAAAATCATTGAAAATCAGAACTACTATCAAACATGAAATAGATTAAAGAGAAAATAAATTATCATACAAGACAAAGGTAAATTTTACCTGGTAAAAACATAAAAAGAGGCAATAAAAGTGAAATTACTAGTAGAACAGGGTACACATCTACAAAGTCATTGACCACGCTTCTAAAAATCATTAGTGCTTTCATAAAACCATTATTGAATATTGCAGACATTATAGCATGTAACATCGTAGTGTAGCAGATCTATAGTTCACAATTGACCCCCCCCCCCCCCCCAATCAGCCCATGGACAATACAAATCGTTAGAATTAAAGAGGCAGGGGCGAGAGTAAGGTAAATTGAATTGAGAAGAGAAACACAATCAGTAATACTCAGAATGGGAGTATGGGATGGAATGATAATTAAGATACTCTTAAGTCTTCTCTTGAAACTGGAAGGGTGGAAGAAAGAAGAATCAGTGGCAGAGCCAGAAATGATGGGTTAGGGAGGCCGGGTCTTAAGGGGGGGGGGGGGCCTGCCAGCATCCCCTGTCTCCACCCCTGGGAAGAATGATCTTCTCCTGCTCAATCCAGTCCTTGATAGCTTTCAAATCTGTGATATAGTAGTTCTAACTCAACACTACCTATCCAAAATGGTACCAAATAAACAGATGATTCCAATTCCTCATCTTGCCTTAATAATGCAGTAGCGGCACTGTTGCTCTTCCTGAGTTCCACTTTAATGACAAATCCCATCAGCTTGGCGACTCAGTTTTGTTTGAAGGGTGGTGATCTATTGTGAAGGTGACTTAGACTCTGTTATCTGTAAGGACATGAATCACTTGCCTATAGATATGACCGCCAGGGTAGAATATTCAGGACAAGTGCCACCATCTCATTTCATAGGCAGATTAGGTAATGTTTAACCTGATAGACCCTTGCTGAAATGCATAATAGGTTGTAATCCATGCATTAATAAAGCAGCCACACCTGTCTCAGATCCCTCAAACTTAACTACAAGTGGTTTAGTGAAGTCTGGGGGTTGCAATTAAAGGTGAGGTAGTAACTGCTGATTCCAGGAATTTTGCTGCAGCATCCATGCAAAGAAGGGCAGTGAGTGCCTGAGTGGTTTGTGAATGTTTCCATAACCTTTATAAAACAAGTTAACAAAGTGGTCTTCCTAAGTGATGCGATGAAAATGTCATCAAAGAAGCCCAACACGGACAAGTTAAGGTAGGTAAAAATTATGACAGCTTGTAAACTAGAACACATTTGACATGCCAAAAAAGGGCAATGATCAAAAGTTCATAGTGACCTCGCTGTGTACAGAAGGAAGATTTGGCATCATGCCTTGTTGCAACTCAATTTGATGATAGCCTTAGCAAGGATAATCTTTGACAAAAAAGTTTGCACTATGTAGCTAATTTAGCATCTCTTATCAAATCCAAATTGGGTACTTGTTGCCCCCTGTAACTTTGTTTAGCTCATTAGGGTGGCGCGTTGCTTCCACGTGACAACCTTGTAACTTTAGCATACTTATCACCCCACCCAAGCTGATGAAGTGTAATGCACCTTCACATATTCAACACCACCCCAGGCACAGGGATGGTGCATTGCTTCCGGACGACGACTTAGTTGTAGCGATATTCATATTTGGATTCATGTAATGTAATGTGACTAAGTTATATTGTTGGCCATCGACTCGAGACAAGCATGATACCAAAAAATGGCCTCATGATGGATGACTCACTAGTAATATTCCAGAAGAAAAAATATCCCTAGTCACTGGTAACACTATAACATGATGCCTATGACTAAGTGCATACAAATGTTAAAAATGAATTACACTTAGAAGTGAAGAGCTAACCTTGTTGCAGCAAAAACAAATACACCGGTCAAGACTTCAACTCCATCCAGTTCTGTTAGAAACTAGGTAAAAGGATTAACAATTTCTCATTAATGTTGGAATATGTAGACGAATCCATCTTAAAATGATGCAGTACAACATCAAATGATAAAATTATGAAGAAAACTAACTTGATTTACTACTCTATCCGTAACACCAGTATTATCATGCCCCCTCTTAGGTGCTATAGAATCAAACTCATCAAAAAATAGAAGGCATGGTGCTGCCGCAGATGCTTTTGAAAATATGTCACGAACCTGAAGAAAAACCATCTACATTATTACACCAAAAAGATTCTTTACTGTGAAACTGAGGAATTGAAGCTCTAGCAGATAGTTTACATCTTCCACTGCCAAAGGAGAAGCTAATATATGAAAACTAAAGAAAGCAAAAGTATATTGATTACACTAAAGTATTATATACTTGTGTGTATGTGTTCCAATAGGATACACAAAATTATAAAGGCACATCATGGGGAGCATAATGGGTTGAGCATGGCTACAATAAGTTAAACAAGGGTTATCCATATTTTCAAGATTTTACATGATTGCATCAGAAAGATAAATTATCTCTAAAAGCTTCTAATAAATTATCTACTAAAGCATACATCTATCAGTTTCAGGATAATGCTCTTACAGCTTGCTCAGAAGCACCAATGTATTTATTCAACAGCTCAGGACCTTTGACCGAGATAAACCGAAGGGCACAGGCAGCAGCAGCAGCACCAACAATGTGTGTCTTACCACAACCAGGGGGGCCATACAATAGGGCATTGGACCGCATCCTTAATGGAGCTTGTGAAAATATATCTGGAAACTTTGAAGGTAGCTCTATCATCTGGAACAAGTAAAAAGGCATCAGTTTGTACTATACCAATTAAAGAATCACTATAATGTACTCCCTCCATCCCTTTTAGTATCTGATTTTATGTATCAAACTTCTATCATTTTATATCTCAAACTTCTATCATATTCGAGTTTAGTGAATAAAGAAAAAACAAAATCAAGACTAGTACAATTCACACATCTGTAACAAAAAAAGTACCTCTTTTATAGAACTGCAGATGTCATTAAGACCCCCAACATCCTCCCAACCAGTTCGCCCGTCTGAAGCAGGTTTAGAAATGTCGCGCATTGCAACTGGAAGGAACTCATGCATTGCATGGGTAAAATCATCCTTAGTTAGAGTATATTTCTCATTTATGCTTAAACTTGATGAATTGGACAAAATGCGGCCAACTGCAGTGTGAATAGACCTATCAGCCAGTATTTCCTGTATAAACAAATACAGGTTTATGGATCTAGCAACGCAATAAAGTTTATAAAGATAACAGGCATGAAGTATATATATTGTCATCCAACGCAAAGATGTTCTCAAGCATTGATGAAGTATATATATATGGTCATCATGTATCCAATTCAACAACAGGAACACCCTCCCAAGAACAGGGATAGCAAGTAATTCAGAATATATAAAATAAAACATTAAGAATATTCAACAAATGAAGAAGTGCCAATAGATAAAACACCAAACTTTTGGAAAAATACCAGATCATATGCATCATATCCGTCACATTTGGAAGCAACATCCATCAAAACATCATTGGAACAATGCAAAGAACGCTTTTGAATTTCATGCTTCAGTAAGGCTCCACGTTCCGCAGCGGCAGGAGCTGAAAGTTTGATGTGGAAATCAAATCTCCCTGAGTATACAAGAAACCAAACACTTAAGGTTATGAAAATGAAAATCAAAAACTTAAAAACAAATAAATAACTCGCACAAGGACCTAATATTGTAAGCCTTCACTTTCAGTGCACCTCAAAAAAATCTTAGTGCGCCCAAAACATTAAACACCTTGAATTATGACCCTTTTACCCTTCTCATTTTTGCATCCAGTTTTGATCATCTCTCTCATGACCCTCCATAGCTCAAACCGCATCAGGCCATTACCACTTACATGAACAGACTATGAAAACATTACACCACACACGGACACAGAAACCTAAGAGGCCAACGAAAGAAACCGCTGTGATTACTGATTAGGAATTTCAGATCCCAAAAAGGAGGTGATCAAGGGTAACTACTCAGTCTTCTATTTGTAAAATTAAAAAAAACTTGGTACATGCTTCTAAAAATATTAAGTCTTCCAAGTCTAAAATTATATATAAGGTGACAAAACAAATCACAACCACTCATAACTTGATCCATGAAGCATTTAAATAATACTCCCTCCGTCCCAATATAAAAGGCACACTTTCCTTTTCGGTCCGTCCCAATATAAAAGGCACATTTCCCTTTTTGGCAAACAAAACAGTGCAAAACAGTGCCAAACAGTGTCCAAACAGTGCCAAACAGTGTCTAAACAGTGTCAAACAGTGTTCAAACAGTGTTCACCCTTAAAAACTCCCCAAACGCAAATGTGCCTTTTATATTGGGACGGAGGGAGTAATACTTGATCAAAGGGTTTTGGCACTCGGAATTGCTTAAAGGTTGTTTCCAATGCTCCGGGGGTTTTAGAGTTTGACATTTCATATAAGTTCTTGGTAATGTACAGGAAATCCCAGAAAAGGGAAAAGTGTCAAATAAAACCTCCAACTCAAATATCACTCAATTAAAGTGCGTGTGTGGCATGTGGTGTGGTTTTATCTATTCCTTTTCTTTCTTTCTTTCTTTCTCGTTCCCTTTCTCCCCTGTGCTTATAATTTCTTTCTCCATGTTCGTCTGGTCCAGCCCCCTAATCTCTACACTTCACCGACTAGAGCCACCTGTACCTCGATGCCGCTGGCTGGCCGCCGCTGCCGACCCCTGGTTCATCCGTTGGGATCCGAGCGTTGGTCATCTTCCCCGGCCAACTTCTGAGCTCTCTACCCCTATATCTTTCCAAGCAAACACCCTACTTCAAAGCGCTGTCCATTTAAGGATGGAGGTTCCAAATTGAATTCTGTTTCAAATCGGTGCACTGAACTTACCCGCTTTAGATTGATGGATCAGCTGTATTTTTTTATTGAGGTGAAGTGATTATTAATTAGGAAGTATTTGATAATAATCTGTAACGGGAACTAGTTTTGATTTAAAGATTACAGAATAAGGAACACGGTGGCTTTGGTCCGAGCATCGGTGTGTAAGCAACACCCAAGAACGAAAGAAAAACAAACGAACAGGGAAATTTGGCGGGCAAAAACAAAGGTGAACCGGGAGAGAGAAAAAGGAAGGGAGAAAAGGAAAAAGAAAAAATAATAATAATAACCACGTGTCGCCACATTCCGCCACGTGTCGCCATTTACCTGATAGCCTGTCAATTATTAGATAAAAACTGATTTGAACTTTTTTTTAAAGTTCAGGTGCTTAATTGGGTGATTATTGAGTTTGGGGGTTTAATTGACTTTTCCAATATAGTACGGGGGTTTATTTGACACTTTCCCCCCAAAAAATAATAGTTTATACTTTATATGGTGAATCTATGTAGCAGTGTAGCACAAACAGAAAAGGGAACGGGGGGAACGCAAGAAACGGGAATTCTTAAAGTTATAAGATACGAAACATGGGGGAAATGTGTAAATATTAAAAAATATAACGATATATTTTCATATATGCATACACATTTTATCTTTGTAAATATGTGGACATACTTTTCTCCCTATAACTTTGTTTGATAACCAACAATAAAACATTCTACATGTTCAAATTTAGAAATTATGACATATTAGTAGATAACTAAGTATAAAATGTACTACCTGCGTCCCGGCTTAAGCTTCTCATTGAAAAACGACACGATTATTTGGACAATAATTAAATAAGGTAATTCGAGTATATTTTGAGAGGTAGTTTTGATGGGTATATAATATAATGAGGTCATTGATGATAATTGTGAAAGATATAGAATATACTTTAGAATATTAGAATATACTTCAGAATATTCTAGGAATATACTTTAGGATATATTATTGTATAGAATCTTATATAGGAATATTCTATTTGTAATGTATATTTATAGGGACTTTCACAACTAATGAAATACACAGAAAATCCTTCTCTCCATCTTTATTATCATTCTAGTTTATATTTCAACATGGTATCAAAGCCTTCCATTTCATGTAGCTTTTCCTTTGAGATTTCAGTTTAGTTTGTCATTATCTCTATCTCAATTTAGTTTTCAAACTGTGTTCTTTATTCAAGAAATTGATTTCAGTCCACAGTCTTCAAGAACCTCTGATCTCAGACTTTTCCCAGAACCTTTTTCCATAACTTCTTCCCAGAACATCTTTCCAGAACCTCCCATCTCAGAAGCCGGCAAGCCTTTTCACACTCTGGTTCACCCCCCTCATCCTCCGGTTCGGCTGCCGCCGTCGACCAACCACCCGGAGTCCGCACGCCCAAATCACCTTGCGTGAGTTACACGCGCCATCGGAAGCTCCCGCAGCCAACACACGCGCCGGCGCGTGACGCCGTGTTTCTGGCCGGAGATTCTAACGGCGAGCATAGTCAGATTCGCCGGAGGGTCCTGTAGCAATATCCAGGTATAGATAGAAGGAGGGTTGGGTCTTGGCTGGCATCGGAAATCTGCGTTATCTTGCGGACATACGCACTGTTTTCGTCTGGTTGTTATTCAGTGGGGATTTGCATAGGAATTCTGTCTGGAGTAGCAGTCAACGGCCCAAGCAAATTGGATATTCTATTCTCCAAAGTTTAGTCCACAAATGGGAAAGGCTTATGTAAGTTTTCCACCTTTATCTCAATTTTGAATTCAAAAAAAAAAAAAAGCAAAAAAAAGGTGATAAAAAAAAAAATGTTCTGTCCTCGTGAATTTGGAAAACAGTTAATATGCAACTACTGTAAGAAATCTGGGCACTTGATCAAAGAATGTAGAAAATTGGCATTCAAAAATCAAGGAAATTCGACTGCTCATGTTGCTTCCGCTACCAGCTCATCTGATGGATCCATTGCTATTTCTTCAGGCGAGTATGCTAAATTTATTTGCTACCAAGAATCTCTAAAGCATTCCTCTATCCCTATCTCGGTAGTCGCAAATTCAGGTATTTCAAACACATGTCTTGTTTCATCATCCTCGAAATGGGTCATTGACTCGGGTGCCACAGATCATATGACTGGTAATCCTAGTCTATTCTCATCATTTCACTCGCATTTACCTACTTCCAGTGTCACTTTAGCTGACGGGTCTACCTCACCCGTTCTTGGATCCGGTACTGTTGTACCAACTTCTACATTACCATTATCGTCTGTTTTGAGTCTTCCTAATTTTTCGTTTAATCTGCTTTCTATCAGTAAAATCACACGTACTCTTAATTGTTCTGTAACATTTTTTCCGGGATATTGTGTGTTTCAGGATCTGTTAACGAAGCAGACTATTGGTAAAGGACATGAGTCGGCTGGTCTTTATATTTTGGATACATCAATCACAAAAGGTATCTCTTGTCTTGGGGTTGGAAATCTATTAGAAGCTCATTACCGATTAGGACATCCATCTCTCCCACTAATGAAGCAAATACATCCTCAGTTTAATAAGGTGTCATCTATACAATGTGAGTCGTGTGAGTTTGCAAAACATCATCGCACTAGTTTAAGTCCCCGACTTAATAAACGAGCAAATGCTCCGTTTGATCTTGTCCATACCGATGTTTGGGGGGCATGTCCAGTCGTGTCCAAATCTGGTTTCAAATATTTTGTTACTTTTGTTGACGATTATTCTCGTATGACATGGTTGTACTTCATGAAGCGTCGGTCCGAGTTATTTACTCATTTCTCTGCATTTTGTGCTGAAATTAAAACTCAATTTAATGTTCCTGTTCGTGTGTTAAGGGGAGACAATGCCCAAGAATATCTATCTGCTCCATTTAAATCTTTTATGCTTCAACATGGCATTATTCATCAAACTTCATGCGTAGACACACCTCCTCAAAATGGAGTTGCTGAAAGAAAGAATCGACATCTGTTAGAAACTGCAAGGGCTTTTCTATTCCAAATGAATGTGCCTAAACAGTTTTGGGCTGATGCGGTGTCTACTTCATGTTTTTTGATCAATCGTATGCCATCTTCTGTTTTGGATGGTAAAGCTCCTTATCAATGCCTTTTTCCAAATAAAGAACTTTTTCCCATTCCACCTAAAATATTTGGTTGCACTTGTTTTGTTAGAGATGTTAACCCTCATCGCACGAAGTTGGATCCCAAATCATTGAAATGTATTTTCTTAGGTTATTCTCGAGTTCAAAAGGGGTATAGATGTTTTTGTCCAAGTACAGGTCGATACCTTATTTCTATTGATGTCTCATTTCATGAAAATACACCTTTGTCATCATCCAAGACAGATATTCATGAGGACAATGATGACATACTCATTTACACAATTACTATACCTGAGGCCACACCTTCAGTAACTATACCGAATGTTACTGTTCCTGACCCTAGACCTCCAGTACACTTGGTTTACACCCGTCGACACAAAGCACCAGATCACTCTCCACCTGTGACACCTGTGATTACTTATCCTGATACTGATCTGACTTCGATCTCATGTCCTGAACCAGTACCTGCATCTTCAGATCTTGTCTCTACATCAGATCTTGACCTCCCGATAGCACTACGTAAAGGTACACGGGCTTGTACTCATCCTATTTCTTCATTTGTGTCATATAGTCGGCTATCCTCTGCCTCGTGTTCTTTTATTGCTTCCATTGATTCTATTTCTGTTCCCAAATCTGTCAAAGAAGCTTTGTCTCATCCTGAATGGCGTCATGCCATGGTAGAGGAAATGAATGCTTTGGATCTTAATGGTACTTGGGATTTGGTAGACTTGCCTACAGGGAAGAAGTCTATTGGATGTAAGTGGGTCTTTGCTGTTAAGGTTAACCCAGATGGTTCTGTAGCTCGATTGAAAGCTCGATTAGTTGCGAAGGGTTATGCTCAAACCTATGGTGTTGACTATTCTGACACTTTTTCTCCTGTTGCTAAATTAACATCTGTCAGGTTACTTATTTCACTCGCCGCAACTCATGATTGGCAGTTACATCAGTTGGACATTAAAAATGCATTCTTGCATGGTGACCTTCAAGAGGAAGTTTATATTGAGCAACCTCCGGGATTTGTTGCTCAGGGGGAGTATGGGAAAGTTTGTCGACTTCGCAAATCTCTTTATGGTTTGAAACAGAGTCCTCGTGCATGGTTTGGAAAATTCAGTCAATCTATTGAACAGTTTGGAATGATAAAAGGTCAATCAGATCACTCTGTCTTTTACAAAAGAACGGAAGCAGGTATCACATTGCTTGTGGTGTATGTCGATGATATTGTGATTACAGGAAGTGATACTGCAGGTATTTTGGCCCTTAAGAATTTTCTTCATAGCCAATTCCAAACAAAAGACCTAGGCTCGTTGAAATACTTTCTGGGTATTGAGGTAACACGGAGTAAGAAAGGTATATTTCTATCTCAGCGTAAATATGTACTTGATTTACTAGCTGAAACAGGAAAAATGGGAGCAAAGCCAAGCACGACTCCCATGGTTCCCAATGTGCAACTCACCCGAGAAGGCATACCATTCGAAGACCCAGAAAGGTACAGAAGATTGGTTGGAAAGCTTAATTATCTTGCAGTCACCCGTCCAGACATTGCTTACTCTGTGAGCGTTGTGAGTCAATATATGTCATCTCCGACCATTGATCATTGGGCTGCTGTAGAACATATATTATGTTACTTGAAAGGAGCACCAGGACGCGGGATTGTCTATCAAAATCATGATCACTTGAGAATAGAATGTTTTGCAGATGCTGACTGGGCCGGATCTAAAGATGATCGAAGATCTACCTCGGGCTATTGTGTCTTTGTTGGAGGGAACCTAGTATCCTGGAAGAGTAAGAAACAGAGTGTGGTTTCTCGTTCGAGTGCTGAATCAGAATATCGAGCTATGGCGCAATCTGCTTGTGAGATCATGTGGATAGGCCATTTATTAAGTGAAATCGGATTGAAGACACCAATGCCTGCTAAATTGTGGTGTGATAATCAAGCTGCCATACACATTGCCAACAACCCAGTATTTCATGAGAGAACAAATCATATTGAGGTTGATTGTCATTTTATTCGAGAGAAGATACAGAAAGGATTGATCTCTACGGGATATGTGAAGACTGGAGAACAACTTGGAGATTTGTTCACTAAAGCACTAAATGGGATCCGAGTTGGTTACTTATGTAACAAGTTGGGCATGATAAATATCTATGCTCCAACTTGAGGGGGAGTGTGAAAGATATAGAATATACTTTAGAATATTAGAATATACTTCAGAATATTCTAGGAATATACTTTAGGATATATTATTGTATAGAATCTTATATAGGAATATTCTATTTGTAATGTATATTTATAGGGACTTTCACAACTAATGAAATACACAGAAAATCCTTCTCTCCATCTTTATTATCATTCTAGTTTATATTTCAACAATAATTGTGATATTATAGGTGTATTATTTTTTATATTTGATGATTAACTTGTCATTTAAGAGTGCTATGTTTCCTAAAATAGAAATGGGAAGCTTTAGGTAGGACGTCCAAAAGAGGCAAGTGAGAAGCTTAAGTTGGGACGGGGGGGGGGGGGGGGGGGGGGGTACATTTCTAGCAATGCATTATGTTATGAAATTATGAAAGATCACAATGTTGCTAGAATGAAATCACATAAAAATTCACTAATAAGTTTAAGGTACTATTTCCCATCAAGGAATCCCATACAAAAGAAAGACATATGAAACCCCAAAGTTTCCACAAACGCTAATTTTTTTGGGAAACGGGTTTCCCAATTCTTCTTAATTACGGAAACGGCTCCGAAACGGGAATTTGAAGTTTCCGAGTTTCCGAAACAGGGAATGTGATCAGCGGGAAGTTTATGCGCTTCATATTTTCATAGGAGTGAATACATTGTTTCCAGTTCAAGATTTATAGGGTAGATACATTGCTGAACCTCTCTGACCAATTCTGGCTTATCAGGAATTTTTGCCTAAGGGATGTGTAAAACACTGAGTGCATAAAGTAACCCCTTATTTCAAATGTATAGGGAACACTGCAATTATCTAGCTTAAAAATAAAGTCAAATGGCTGCACTCGTGAATTACATACATTTGACAATATATCAATCTTATAAATGTAGTCCACTTACCAGAAGAGCTCAATGTATGTGGGACATTGGTCAGGGACTGCACAGAAGCTACAAATGCAACAGGCCCGGTTCCACATATGATAGCTCGCTTTTCCTATTTGATTAAGTAAAATATATTAGTTCAAAGTTTTGTAACGCATCAGACTGTTGATCTAACAAAAAACCAGAAGTCATGAATTAATCATTCGCAGTTTTATGATTTTTATCATTATCGTGTCAAATGTTTTTTATCGTTAACTTTTAAAAGCATCAGCATTACCGTCAGCGTATATTCCACTTATGACCTTCCCACTATGGTGGCATTTCCCATTTTTGTCATCAAGTATCAATTGGACTCATTTTGGTAAATCTGCCTTCAAAATTGTATCAAATTTGGTAAAAGTATCCAAACAGTTCATACGAAAGAAGGTTAAATTTCATGGGCTGAGAGTAATTTTAGAAATTTTCGACAGAACTCAATTCACTTTGAATAGTTGAAGGAGAAGGTGGCCGAATTAATAGCCATGGACCAAATGTGGAATATGACTGTTATCTAATGACCAAACTCTAGATTAACTCATATTGTTATAATTACTGCTACTCCTACCACAAGGAATAATATCGCTTAGATATAGACTAGTTGAAACCTAAATTCGTTTCACAGTTCATATTTAAACCCAAACCCCCTGAATTTTGTTTCTCTATTTTACTTTAATTCATCAAATACATGTATTCATTACCTGTTATATCCGTACCATTTTCATTGCCTAATTTGAAGAGGATCTTTCAAGGTCCGTGACAAGAATTTCAGTAGTTGTAAGAGTGTTTGCCACTTCAATATTTCAACTATGGTGTCAAATTGTCAATGATACTTTTGGTACTCACTTCTGAAATTTTCCAATTTTAGCCTTTCGATAATTGTCACAAAGACACTTTTGGTACACGTCTTTAAGTTTTCCAGTTCTACTCCTTGTGGAAGTGACACTTCTAATTGTCATAGTGAAACTTTTTGTCACCCACCTATTGTGGCCAAATCCAAAGACCGTACCAAAGTGTCATTTTCACAGTAGTAAGTGAACTAAAAAAGAAAATTTCATAGAAGAGTACCAAAAGTGTCTCTGTAATGATAGCCAAAGAACTGAAGCGGAAAACTTCAAAGATGAGTACTAAAAGTACCAAAAACTTGTGGGTCCAAGATAAAAGTCATTCAGATTGTTGGGGTTAATATTAATTCAACATTTAGATTTTAGATTAGTCTGTTCTTTTATTATTTTCAAATGTCTGTGGTAATGTACTAATGTTAACTAATCAGTTAGTATATACTCCCTCCGTCCCAATTTGTGTTTCTCGATTCATTTTTATGATGATTCAGTGATGATAAATTAACTCATGTATGGTACTATTTAAATTACTAAATTAGTATTAGCAATTGAAAGTTACATATTTAAAACTAGACTAGAAGTTCTATTGAACCATAAATTTTATTAAATCGTGGATTACAAAAGAATTAAGTTGACTTCAGATGTACTGTTTGTGAACCTTATTTCGGGATAGGGGGTAATTTATATCTCATGTGCATTGTGCACATGGTGCAACTAACTAGCAGAGTGCAGTGCGATAATTCACATGAGACTAAGTTTACCTCATATTCATCCATTATATCAGCAAAGAATTGTACAAGCTCTGTGGAAGAGGATGAAGCCTGAGAACTGCCTGTCTCAGAGGGGGTTGAGACTATGCTATCAAAATCATCAAATATTATGACTGAAGGAGCACATTCCATGGCTTCTGATATGTATCTCTTTAGGACTTGGCGGAGGGAAGAGGGCTTCTCCAGAACAAGTTTAGAACAGGACACAGAAACTCTAAAAAATGGATTAAACAGAAATATACCAGTATCAACTGAAACAAATACGAGAACAGGACAAGCCATGATAGTAACTGAGCAAGCATCAAAATTCACAAGATGATAGGACTAAAAAAAATTACATGTGTGCCATGATATCTTCACTTTCTTCCACAAATTTTGCAGCTACTGTGGCTAACAGTGTCTTCCCACAACCCTACAAAGGAACAGTATTCAACAAAAAAGTTCAAATTTATTGAATGTCATATTGAAGAAACTACCCCTGTGAGAATTGGAAATTCAAGTTGCCATCAACTACGAAGATAAATAAAAACTTTTAGTATATAACATCATGGAAATCCTTCTGAAAATCCAACAGTACCATTGAGGCACCAGTTAGGAATTAAAATAAATGAGAATATAATTACAGACAGGACCCACAGTCCAATAGCCACACGACAGTTGTGTGGCAGCGCATCAGCACAGCCAACTCATAGTGCCAGGCAGTGAGGGTTGCTATTCAGCTGTAATTGAGATTTCCTGTGCTTTTGTCCTTCCATTCATCTATTTATAAACTGATTACACTCACTCATTCCCTTTTTTCCTACCCTTTTGATTTGTTATGGTTTTTAAGAAAAAGAAATTTCTTTGGTTATAATCTGCATAGAGACAAGCAGCAGCAACAACATAATCATTTTCCTAAAAGGAAGAATGGAGATAAAAATGGAAGAATGTACACCGGGCTGCCCTAAAAGGAAGAATGAAGATAAAAATGGGACAAACAGATCATATGTGTGTGTCTCTTTTCCATTTTCAAATCAGTTTAGATTTAATATACCAATCAAAGTCCTCTTCATCTCCTTTTCTCATATTTATTCACAATGATTTAAATCACTACACCATCAAAAGGCATTATTTGTGTGTTGGACACGAATTGCCAGTCCACATGAGAATATGAAACAACTCAACAACAGAAATGAGCATGAACTTTGAAGGGTCCCTTTCCTGTAGAATTAAAAAAGCACTATGGCAACTGGCAAGACTCTCACCGATGGTCCATGAATTAGAATATGTCCTGGAAAAGGATGATCATGTGTACTGAACCTCTTCCCAGAAGTAGGCGATAATAGAACTGTCAATCCTGCACATAAGTGACTGTGTAGAGTAAAATGAAGCAATGAACAGTGAAACTTAAATGACTAAAACAAAAATGGATTAAATACACATAGATGAAAGAAGGGGAAAACTTTATTTGGAAACCCCAACTCCAACAATCAGAAAAAAATGAATATTTTGAGAAAAAACATCTCACTCTCAAACTGAGCAGACCTGTTTCATCAGATAATAACATATTTACCACAAAAGAGATGTTCACTATTAGAAACAACTATATCCAGTCCACAAAGCTTCAGTTGAATGTGATCAAGAAAAGTTGCACCTCTAAACCTGAAGTCAGAGATATACTTCCAGATACATATTTGCATGTATCCTATATTGCATGGAACAGGCAAGAGAAATGGGAAGCAGGAAAAGGGACACTTCGAGACATCCTTTTCAAATGAAACATAGTTGTAAAGAAGGTTTCCCAAGAGCTTTTAAAAGGTTTTTGAAACATTACCATAGCGCAAAACAATACCTTTTACATGCTGTGATAAGAACAAATGAGGCGTATATAGTCAAAATGTGTCCCCCCCCATTGTGTATAAAAAATAGTCAACTGTGTATGTCATTTGGCATTGTTGTGTGGCCAGGAATGAGATGCATACTTGTGCTGGTGGACTAATAAAAATTCAGTAGTAAATATACTTTCACACAAGAGAAAATCGTACATGAGAATAGGATTTATATGAATGTGTGAAACTTTTTCGGGGGAAACTATCAAATTGGCCCTCGTAGTATATCTAAAACATCAATTAAACCATCCTCACCCAACCAAACACGGACTTTTTTTAAAAATCTCAAAATGGTGAATTATAGGTCATATACCAGTTTCCAGTTGCCTTGCTTGTGATGCTACTCATGTGGCAATCTTCATTACTTATATTTTATTTTTCAATTTTTTCAATTATAAAGTCTCCTTTCTCTTCTGTCTTCTACCCCAAAGTCTCCTACCGTCTTCTACTATCTTCAATTTTTTACTATGCTTTTAAGAATTCAGTCTGAATTTCCCCTTCCCCTCTGCAATCCCTCCTTGCTCCCCAATGAAATTCCACTATCTGGTCAACGATTATGACCCACCTATTCCACCGCCGGAGGGGGGCCCGCATGCTAACTATTGCACCATGACATTGAAGTTGGAAGTGTCAGATCAGTGTTTAGAACTGTCGTTGGGGTTCTCCGAGAAGCTTTGGTCTATTTTGCACATCACCGGCTCCAAACTCGTCCCATCGGATCTTTGTCAGTCGCTTTGTTCCCCCAAGGGAGTGTGTGGTATGGGAAGTTATGTGGTTACCATACCACAAAGCTCTATAAATCCAAACTTGAATGGGAAAGAGAGGATGATTATCCCTTGCAGCAATTTCATAGAAGGGAGGACTTAATTGATAGAGATCCTCCAGAAATTCAAGAACAATTGCAGAAATTATATCAAGAAGCAAACTGTAAAACCTTTATTGAAGAAGAAGATGTTTACAGAGAGAAATAGTAACAAAGGCCGAAGCCTCCCAAAGAGAAGAGATCGTCAGTCTCTAATCTTCCCAGTTCCCAGACCAAAGTTCCCAAAAAGCCTCCCTCTTATTTCTCTCTCCCTCTATTTATACTTACTTATGGGCCAGCCCAATACTAACTAGTACCTAGCCCAGGACCCTTTAACATCCTATCACAAATATTAGTTATACTTCTATTATTATACTAACTAATGGGTTCCTATCATATCTCCCCCCTTGAAAAACCACCTTGTCCTCAAGGTGGGTGATAGGACACAGCTTTGATCTTGAACTTCCTCTTCATCCTGGAGCCTCTTCCTTCCCAATATCTCCCAGATTGCTGAACCAGAAGCTTCAGTATTTGTTCCTTCAAAATCACAAATGGTGCTGTTGCAGAAGCTATGTCGAGTACCATTTCAATGGATGCAGTAGACTTCAAGCACTCACTAGCTACAAGTGTTTCCCTGTTTTCATGAGACTCCCCAAGGATTGTAACTTCTGAGACTATCAATGTGCTGGATGTAGATTTAGTGTTACTCAAGTTGCTCAACTCCTTGTCTGGAACAAGCTCTATGAAAAGATCTCCATTTTTCATCCATTTTTCTCTACGGCAGTTAGCATCAATGACAGAATGATTTGTAATAGCAGGATTATTCTCATAAAACTTAAACAACCGACAGCAGTTGTGCACCGCAGTGCTCTCATGCGGTTTCAGATTATCTAACCGCCAAAGTCCCAAGTCTAGGAAGTTTTCTTCTTTCTGTTCCCTTATAAGAGAGCCAGTAGTTCTTGCCGCCACAGAACGAGCTCCAGGGACTGGATCCTGATGAACTTCGGGCAGAATAAGAATGAGCATATTGGATTCCTTAAGAGTGTTCACCCCACCAAACTCATTTATGTCATCAACCTTTTCTTCAACACTGCTACCAAAAGTAACATTATCAGCCCCCTTCAGTCCCGTACCTGAGGAGCCCAAGGATAGAATCATGACACTCTTATGTTCATTAGCATCCCTTATGCCCTTTCGAACTGAATGTCCGACGTAGGCCAAATTTTTATCCCCATACCATCCATCTTCCTCAGAAAGTACTGTTAAAGACTTCCTGACCTCACCCCCATATTTTCCAGGAATGAATTTGGAGAGCACAAATTCATTGCTATGAGGTGTTCTTCTATCATCTTTGTGTTTTCCAGCCAAAGGTATGAGGGCAAAAGAATTAACAGAGCTCTGGAAAGTTTCTATCCTTCTGGCAGCAACATAGTTCTTAAGAGCCATCCACTGTGAGAACCTTGTGAAGAAGTCAAAAACATCAGGAAAGAATAAAGCTGCCTTAGCAAAGAGATCTCCTCTCAGGAGATAACTTTCAGGTGCTTTAATTGGATTCTGCAAGTCAAGCTTGGAATAGCCAGGTAGGCTCTCAACCCATGGCTGCCATTCTGCATCATGTACTCCTGAATATCCTAGAACCATTTCCTTTGCTTTCTGTGGTTGTTGACTTTTGACAAGAACATTCTTATTTTCATCTTTCTTATTCCTTTGCTTGATTACAAATTCAGTTGACATCTGCAAATCAGTAAAAATTCCTTCTGATGACAATGGAAAATGATGATTATCTAGCGAGCTGGGCACTGTGGTACTCAATTTCGAACTGGAGGAAATTCTTTGTGACTTTGATGAATCTCGTCTTACTGTCTTCCCTGTCTTCGGCCGGCGTTTGGGTGGAAATTCCTTCATCAAATCTTCCTTTAGAGCCTCCCAACTGTCTTCTCCCTTCTGAAAATCCCACCATTGAAACCAGCCATCTGCGGCTTCCCCCATTGCCTTTGCTGCCAGGTCCACTTTAAATCTTTCTGCAATAGTGTGGGTTTGGAAATATCTCTCCATCTTCTCTATCCATTCATACGCTTCTTCCTCGTAGAACAGAGGTAATTCCTCCTTCTTTGAAATAGCTGACTTTAGAGAAACAGCTTTAGAATAAGATAGGGAACTGTGAGAGTCCTTTGATGACAAAGATGATGATTCTCCCCTCCCTAGCTTCTTTCTTGAACGCGTACTGATGCCCGTTGAAAAAGTCTGAAGCGAAGAGTGATGATAAGAATGATGAGAAGTGTTCTGAAAAGAGCGATGGTGATGCGAATGGTCGGAATTTCTTTCCGATTCCCCTGAACCGACTGATTTTCGCGAGTGACTCGAGTGGTGATGGCGAGGTGAATGATGATGGCGAGTAGTGGGATGCGAGGAATGATGCGATAAAGTCTGCGCCTGGTGAGAAACAGTTCGCGATTTGGACTGCGATTCCGTCTGCAACTTTGGCGATTCCTTCTGCGACTTGGACCTCGACCGATCTCCAGGTCTTATGCGAATACTCTGTTCTTCCGATTCCCCTGGTTCAATCGGATGTTGCGTACGTCCATGATGAGAGTCTCGATGCGATGCGTTTGACACGTGCGATCTGTTCCGCGAGCGATTTTGGGTGTTTATCTCCAAACTCGCGATACTTGTTTGTAAAGCCGCAAAACTCGCCGCCATATTAGTCTGGAACTCCCGCAGACTTCTTTCCATATTCGTTTGCACTTCGTTGATTTTCCTTTCCATCTTTACGCGCGTCTCTCTCCTCCAGCGATCAATAGGCTCTGATACCAATGATAGAGATCCTCCAGAAATTCAAGAACAATTGCAGAAATTATATCAAGAAGCAAACTGTAAAACCTTTATTGAAGAAGAAGATGTTTACAGAGAGAAATAGTAACAAAGGCCGAAGCCTCCCAAAGAGAAGAGATCGTCAGTCTCTAATCTTCCCAGTTCCCAGACCAAAGTTCCCAAAAAGCCTCCCTCTTATTTCTCTCTCCCTCTATTTATACTTACTTATGGGCCAGCCCAATACTAACTAGTACCTAGCCCAGGACCCTTTAACATCCTATCACAAATATTAGTTATACTTCTATTATTATACTAACTAATGGGTTCCTATCATTAATGGATAGGCAAAGAGAGAAGCTTAGTTAGAATAGGCCATACATATTCAACATTCCTTTTGAGAAGTTGCTTATCCAGGCTTGGTGGCAAGGAAATGGTTCAATCCAGCTCGCGCGTTTTGTTCTTCTGGTTTTAAGTGACGAGAGTGACGTGATGTTCCCAGATCCTTTAGCTTGGCATTAGAATAGTAGTAAAAATAAAATATATTATATGATAAAGTTAAAAAGATTGCCAAGTGAAGAGGCATGTAAGCAGAGTAACCTGAAAACCAGTGGATGAATGTCTAATTTGCTCATTTAGGGTTGTTAATAAGTTTGTAGGTTTGATTGAATATTTCTTGACCATGAGGGTGTAATTGACTTTTGCGATACACTAAGAGGGCCCATTTGATAGTTTTCCCAACTTGGAAAGTATATGGAATTTAAAAAATGATCTCATATGTATTTCCAAGAACTGACTAAATGATGTATCAATGTCATCAGTAATCTTGTATCAAGTCGAAGCTAATCGCTTTTAAAGAAAGCTAGGCAGGAACTTCGAGAAACATATTGAACAGCCAAAATGGTAGAATACCTACTAGTAATCACATCGGATGCAGCAGTACAAAGAACTGACTAAATGGAATTTAAAAATAGGCAGGAACTTAAAAAATGATGGAATTTAAAAAATGATCTCATATGTATTTCCAAGAACTGACTAAATGATGTATCAATGTCATCAGTAATCTTGTATCAAGTCGAAGCTAATCGCTTTTAAAGAAAGCTAGGCAGGAACTGCGAGAAACATATTGAACAGCCAAAATGGTAGAATACCTACTAGTAATCACATCGGATGCAGCAGTACAAAGAACTGACTAAATGGAATTTAAAAACTGATCTCATATGCATTTCCAAGAACTGACTAAATGATGTATCAATGTCATCAGTAATCTTGTATCAAGTCAAAGCTAATCGCTTTTAAAGAAAGCTAAGCAGGAACTTCGAGAAACATATTGAACAGCCAAAAACGGTAGAATACCTACTAGTAATCACATCGGATGCAGCAGTACCCATCCAATTCAATGAAGAAACTGTCAATTTGGGATCTTTTACAGAACTCTCAGACAGAGTCTGAAAGGATAACCCGTCACTCAATCTCAATTTTCTGAGCAACTCTTCCAGATTTCTCATACTTGTAAAGGTGTCATTCCCTTCATCAAATGTGAGGTCATATGCAGCAACCTTCTTCTCAACGTCTGCAGATTCCTCAGATATAGACAATATATAGAAGGCATCGACTGATTGTTCTCCAGTCCCAACTTTACTTCCCAAAGAACCAGATTTTTGTGTATGTGCCTTTTCAGGGTTTATCATTTTATTACTTCGAACTTTGAAGTGAAGTAATGTTTTACTCCCTAAAACTATTGAATTAACTCCTACCCCTGCCAATGTTGTAGTAGCTTCAACTTGAGCCAAAAACCATGCACGAAGGACATTAACTACACCCTTCATATTGTTGTTATTAGCTTCGACGCAACTGCTGGTTTGAGATTCACGAAATACACTTGTAGCTATTTGCTCATGTATTGACCAATCAGTCACACCCAAATTTGTATGTAGGTTGGTCCTGATTTCATGATTATTGTGGTTAGCCAAAAAATCAGCACTACTGCTCCCAACAACCCCATCCTTCGCAATCATTTTAAATTGGCAAGGTGAAATAGAAGCCAGAGGGATCTCCATCTTTAAGTTAATTTTGGACTGCTTCACATATACCCCTGGCAGCAAATAGCAACACTGTTAACCAACAATACATTTCAATTACATCAAAAGGGGATACTATGAATATCTGAAGCTAAAAATTATTATGAAGTTTGGTCCTCAAGTATGGTTACCTTTCCCACATTCAATATTACTCTTTTAATTCTATCACATTCCATCCTTGAACAAAACTTCTTTACCAGATTAAGCCTGAATCTTACAATTACTAAAAAGTTGGGGCTATATATGATAGAAAGTTGAAGGGATGGAATGTGGTCAAATAAAAAAATGAATAAATCTGGAAATGCCACCACAGTCGAGAATTAAAATTTGAAGAAGAAAAAACTTAACAAATTAATGTTCCTCACATCCCAAAAAATGCCTTGTGAATATGATGGAATAAAGCAAAATGGCTCACTGAACTGTTTGCGCTTCTTTGTTATGAAGCAAGAGTCAGTTCATCCAGTTCTTAGAGCATGGGGAAAGTTTCAAAGTGTTAAGACTCGGGGTTCCATCCTAAAAGGTCAACCTGATAGGAGGAGTAGCCCGTGTGTTAATATAGCACTTTGTTCATCCAAACGTTTCCGGTGTGGGACATTTAACACCCCTCCTCACGACCAGACATTTCGTCTAGATCGTGCAATCATTCATTTTTTTCATCGGTCCGTTTTTTTCATCCGGCCATTTTTATAATCATGTCATCACGATTCATAAGGGGCCCCACACCATGGATCGATTGGATCTGATACCATGTTAAGACTCGGGGTTCCATCCTAAAAGGTCAACCTGATAGGAGGAGTAGCCCGTGTGTTAATATAGCACTTTGTTCATCCAAACGTTTCCGATGTGGGACATTTAACACAAAGAAAATAAGGAGGGTGCACAATCAATATACTTGGTGCAACTCTAGTAAAGCTTATTTAGAGCATATTACAAATAGATAATCAGCACTTCATATGTTCACAAGATTCTAGATTTTGATTGCACGACTTTCTATGCGTTTTCAATTGGGAAGTAACAACATTGACGTCCCCACAAGGCGAGGGTCTACGGAAGGGTCCCACCACAAGGGTGTATAGGGGGCAAGCCTCCCATGATTAATTTCTGACAAGAGGCCGCTCCCAAGACTTGAACCCGTGGCCTCTCGGTCGCTCAGAAACACCTTAACCAATTGGGGCTTGCCGGCTACAGTGATGTTCACCTTGTGTTTCATATTGTGGAAAAAAACATCCCATCCAACATGCATCATTCAATTGAACCCATTATGAGTTGACAAAAGGTAAATGGTTATGTCATCAGTATACATATAGGCATATAGCACAACATAACTACATGCAAACATTTCATTTATAAAAAAAAACCTCTAGAGTATAAACTTTGTAGAAGAAGAATAGAATTAGAAAGATAAGATCAAGGTGTATTAATAGAAGCATGCCAAATACTTTGGGGCTCATGAGTATGAGATTGTAATGCATAACACAACACCTGAATATCGAATTAGATGTTCGAAAGGGGATTAATAATATATTAAGACAAACCTACATGAGTGTAATGTTGCTCTCAAATAAAGCCGAAGAGGCAATGGAAGCATAACATGTCCTTTGGCAACTGATTTTGAGAATAATAGGCGTACTACAGCTTGATTTTCATCCTGATCGTCAATATGCATTCCACGATTAACTTCATTTGTGTTTGCACTTGTTTTTTCATTATCTATTGCATAGCTCTTTTTGTTCTCTTTGGGTAGTGGTCTGGCCATTATTACCATTGTCCCAAGAGATTGAAAAGAATATTGCTTAGCTGTTTCGGGATGAATGAGGATAGCAGAAGTGAGAGTCACTTCCATCTCATCATCACGCCCTTGATATTTGTAAATACATTTACTAGCTGGATCTTGGACTCTCAGTAGTGCCTTTGTAATGGGAAACCCATCAGAAGTCGTTATTGACTGTTCTTCAGAACTCAGCTTTCTATTCCGTCTCTTTGGAGCAATTGCAACTTCGCTTCCTGGGACCAGTTGCACTGAAGCAACTCAACAAGTCAGAAAGTTTGGAAAAAAGTTTCAAGTACCAAACAAATAACACCAAGTAAGTAACAGGCTGCAAAGTGTTTGGTGTTATTAATATCTACATCTGCACAAAAAGAACATGGCTTTAAAAAGTTGGGATAAGAGAAAGCAAGATAAGCAATATGAATCCCCCCGAAAAGGAAGAACAGAAACACCCAGAGAAACCTAAGGCGAGGTGGGCATACTTTCCAGCCAACAGTAAAGCATTGAAAATTTGATTGGTTCACATCTATAAGGGAAAAGTAATAATGAGTTATAGCCAAAATTAAATGCCCCAACTATATGTTCTCCAATCCCCAAAACTGTTATACGATATGAGACCAGCCAGGTGACTACTGAGTCTGAAGTGTCATATAACATAGGTCAATGTTTATCAACCAATATCATCATCGCATTAATCTCAACTGTGTTGGGGTCAGTAGCAAGAAATATATAGCATCAATCAATTGTCTAAAACAAGTTAGCACAATAAACTAATGTTACACGTAGTGCAAAAAGCTCATGCATATTGCCCTATGTGTCACTATTGAACTAAAAAAGTATATATTCAACAACAAAAGTAAGTTCTAGAGTTAAAGTATTAAGGTTTCCTACTCTTGTTAGGTATTTAGCGTTCTTGCTTTCATTGGGTTTAGGCCAATTACTTCTTTGGATTACGCATATTAGCATTGTAATAGTCTTCAGAAATAATGAAGTTGTAGGGAAAATTTTCACACCAATCTAGGTAGTAGTTATTTGAACATAGTATTCAAATCCATCTAAAATACTCCAAAACCCTGTGGCCTTGAATCCCTAAAAATACACTTTTTGTGATCATTGAATCACAAGTCACATTGTGTCCTCCATTTGGAAACATCTTCGATCACTGTTCCATAAAATGCCCACACATAAACCCAATCAACAGCTAAAACCCTAACAATTTACTCCATTTCACATATCATGTGCCACCAGAGTTTTAACAAGGTCTGGCCATATGCTGGCGCGTGCCAATGTGTGAACTGTCTCAGCCATTTTGTGGAGAATTTTTTCACTTTTGGCCTGTCAATGGGTTGGGTCTCAGCCATATACTAATAATTTTTTTTAAACGGGTCCGGGTCCTTAACTGGTTGAAATTATATGTACTACACCCGACCCATTTTATTAAAATTACTAACGGGTCCGGGTGCGGGTTCGGGTAAATGGAATAAAATATAGACCCATACCCGCTAATACATAAAGTGATTATTTATAATTCTTCAAACAAAAAAATACAAGCTAATATTTATATATATACACATACATAGTGGAGGGTTCAAATACAAAGAGATCTTCCCATGCAAAGTGAGAATAAATCTTGTGCATTCATTTCCAGATCTAATAGCTCAAAATGAGACAACAATACATTAGATTTGAATATTTGATCAAAAATGCAGTGGAAATTTTGTAAATAAACCGAATTTTTCTGCCACCGCGAAAAAGTGCAACAAAAACATGCAATGGTTCAACGCAACAAGGGAAAAGTGCAACCGTTCGCGCTTTTCACGGGAACACTACTTTTTATTTGAACTCTCCCCTATATATACACACACACACACATATACACATACTAATACGTAAAGTTCTTAATTGTCATTCACTAATTAAAAAGATACACACTAATACATACCTACTGTATAAGTGATACGATCGAGATAGTGAAATACCCTAAAATTAATACTCATTTTGGCCATTTTTACATACTGATAGAGTATGTATTGGGTTAGTAGGCAAAGCCCAATATGTATTATTATGATTAATATTATTATACATTATCATATATAATATGTTTTTATACTCTCAGTAGTCCAAAAAACCTTTTTGTGACCTGATTTCTAGTCTAATATACGAGCTTTTTGTGCGAGAGAAAGAGAAACAGAGTGTGGAGTTATACGCTACAAGAATCGGATACTTTATTGGATAAAAGTACTATTTTTCTATGAGAAACCATGATTTTTTTTAAAGTGAAGATATATTTTGCTTTTAAGTTTGCGCATTTTGCTTTACATTTCATATACATGTCTTGTTATTTTCACAAAATCTATAATGTTGTGCATATCATACTTGGCGGGTCTACCCAACCCAGTTCCAACACCCGTTGGGGCCGGATCTGGGTCCAAACTTTCAGACCCGTTGGGTACGGGTCCTTTATTAACTTGGCGGGTTTGGGTCTGGAACACTGCATTCCGGCCTGGACCTGACCCATTGACAGGCCTAACTTGTGAGGATCCGCTTCAATTGTTTTTTCATCCCAAACAAACCATGTAACCTTTATGTGCCATTGACTTGGATTGGAGGCAAAATAAATCAGAGTTCCATCAAGTTCAAGAATTCAAGTGAAGTCCATATCAGAGTTTCAAAATTTTAATATCAAGTTTAGTTCAAGTGTTTGGGCTTTGGAGAATAATAGTATCAAGTTTCATGATCCAGGTTGTGTCAAACTTTTAGCATAATTTCATAGCTTGACAGAGTGTTGAATTATACATGTATACTAAAAAGGGAAAGTGGCAAATTTTTTGGACAACCAAAAAAAAAGATGGCAAAGTTGCAAGGGACGGAGGGATTTTAATAGTCACTACACCAACTTTCATGCAGATCTCTTTATTATGAACTTTACTTTTTTAGTCTTACCATTCACATTAACATATGCATCTTCTCCGCACTCGAGTCTTTTTATTAATGTCTTTTTAGTAGCCAAGTATTTTGATCCATATAAGCACAAGCATGTTTGGTGGAGGTCCAACTAAATGTTCTCTCTAATCCTAATGGTGATGATTTATTAAGTAAGATGTTAAACCTACTCTCACATGGTTGACTATTATAGTATTACCACGGTAGTACAATCCAACTACCCCCAGTGCCTCGAGAAACAACACTCAACACTACTTCAACTGACTCAATTAGGTCCTCCATGTGGCTACCTCTTGAGATAAGATCCACAATGTCCAAATCAACTAACCTAATTTCAACTAAGTTCGGCCATTTAATTACAAATTTACTAAAATGTTGAACTCTACATCATGATTGCTCAGCTTAATGACTTTACTTTTAAGATCTCACACCGGTCAAGTATGGGCTTGGCCGGTGGCTTATAAGCAATGTGTTCCCTCCTCCTAATCGGCTGGTCTTTTAGGAGTGAGTTCTACACATGGGCTTATGGCGCTGCTACGGGTCTAGTATGGGCTAGGTCCGTAACAATTGGTATCAGAGCCATCCCCATCTTCCTAGTCCCGACACTCGGAGTGGTGGCCTATGGAGTGGTGGCTTGGGCCCTGGGGGTGCCAACCGTGACCAACATAGCTGTGACCAACGAGGACGTTGGCTCTTTGAAGCGTGGGGCATTATTAAGATCCCACACCGATCAAGTATGGGCTTGGCCGGTGGCTTATAAGCAATGTGTTCCCTCCTCCTAATCGGCTGGTCTTTTAGGAGTGAGTTCTACACATGGGCTTATGGCGCTGCTACGGGCCTAGTATGGGCTAGGTCCGTAACATTCATTTAGCTGAGGCCAATCCATCACAAGCTAGTCACTATGAGACACTGAGGTATAGTCCCTCATAGTTGAATTAAGATTTAATGGGCAATAATTTTTTAGTGTGATATTTTTTTTATGATAACAAACCAAATACTATTGGTAGTTTAAGATTAGCATCAACTAATGTGCCTGTCATGATAACCTGAATAACATTAATTTATACTTTAACGAAAATAACACAGCTATATAGAAAATTTAGCTTCACTAAAAATGATGGAAAAACAAATACGAAATAGATATTATCTAACCTACAGATGTTTGGGGGGAGGTGGATGAAACAAGAAACTTTATGACACTTCGCCCATGTATCCACAAAGGAAATGCCATTGCTTCATAGACAATACCGAGCTGCACATAGAAATACAACAACAACATCCAAGCCTTAGTCCCAAAAGAGTTTGGGGTCCGTTAACATGAATTGACATGAAATAAGAAAATTGAAACCAATTCACCAAATACATAAACATCACTTCAAACTAGCTGTGTTTAGTAATAATATGTACACGCATAATGATCTAAAAAGTGCAAAGCTTTAAGAGGGCGGGCGGGCTGGGAGCTAGCTCTTTGGTAGGATGAGGCAGAACATTGATAGAATAGGCGCTGTCAGTTCAGGAAAAAGTACAAGCAATCAGATGATCTTTAGCGCCAAACTATTTACTTTTATAACAATATGTGTAAATATAAATATACACTTTCTACTGACGACAACAACATCCAAGCCTTAATCCCAAAAGATTTTGAGGTCAGCTAACATGAATCGATCCATGATATCGATGCCAAAAAGGGAAGACAGACAAGAAGAAGAGAAAGAGAAAAGGAAAAAAAAAAAAAGATAAAACGAATAAGATAAAGATAAATAAATATGAAGTATAAGATAACAATAACATAATAATATAAGAAAGATAAAAGATAAAAAGATAAAAGAGCATAAAAAGCTAGAAGATAAAAATAACATAAGAACATAAGAAGATAAAGAAGATAAACGATAAAAGAAAGAGAGAGAAGAAAGATATAAATGAGGTCAATCGTCCACACGAATGTGCGCCCTCCACTTTGCCCCCTCTCCAAACCAAAGTCTGAAAAAGTTGTCCCCATAAATGTTGGGATGTAAGCTTTTGTGGGCATGTAGACAACTTCTTTTCTTTTGTGAGGTGGTCTCATTATGTCTTTGTTTTTAATTATTTTCCAAATTTTAGCATGTTAACTAAATTACAAAAAATATAGTAGATATGTTTCAGTCTTTTTAATACATTATGTCTTTGTCTGAGAAATGTCTATCCGGGAACTTTTTGATATTTTTTAGCCATTCAAGTCAAGTAACTATAATGATGTTTTCCCATTGAAAAATAGCCTATCGGGCTACATGGTATACAATATGATATGGACTTGTGGCGCGTGCATGTGTGCGTGTGTATACATTGTATATGTACACATTCTACAATTCCAAGAATATGGTGGCATTTCAGCATTCAGTCCTGTTTCTATAAAACTGAAGTACTGAACACATTACATTCTTAATGTCACTCTTTTATAAAATTCAGTACTGCTTGGGGACAAGTCTAACTAAAACTAAGTAAACAATAAAAGAACATGAGACCAAATTAATTAAACACGACATGAACAATAAATATGAGTCCAATTTCTTACATTATAGTTAAATGAAAAAATAGATGGGTAAGCGGCTGATTAGAAAACTATGAGAGCAAGAAATACATAGATCAAATTGACCTGCTTCAGAATTGCTTGCTCAGCCAGCTCAGAATTAAGCTCCATGACTTCCCAGTCATCCTCTGTCTCCGGCTCTATAGTGACCATACTCGCTTTGGGCAAATTGGAAACAACTCGAACTTGAACAACCGTCCCGTCCAACAACCCAATGCACTCCGCATATTGACTGTCAATCTTCAACACATAATTCGAACACAAATCAGGAATATGAGATTTTTAAGCCTGGATGTGAGAATGAATGTACTGTAAGTCTGTAATAGAAATTGGGACCTGGATAGAGGAAGCTGAAGGAGGGGAAGAAGCAGAGCCAGACCAAGCGACATGCCATAGTTTGTTGTAGCAAGAGTCTCTTTGAATAGAACGGAGCTGAAGGGCGAGAATCGGAGGAAGGTCGGAGAGGGCGGTGGACGCTAGAGTATTTATAAGAGCAACAGGAAGTGAGACGAAGCAGTTGCCGATTCCCGCCGTTACACTCACGTTGAACTCCATTTCAGTCTACCAATAGCCAGGTAGGGTATGGGTATCTATGGGATGTAGTTCTTGAACGTGTACGGTGTATACAAATAGTACGTACGCCGTATAAATTACCGGTCATCGTACGTACTCCGTATAAACTACGGGTCATAGATATTCTCGAGGATAAACCGTTTGGAATCCATTTTTCCTTCCTCCTTTGGGAAAATGGAAACTAATAATCCAACCTTTTAGCGGTCTTCTTTCAATAATCCCACCTTTTGATTATTCATGAATAATCCAACCTTTGCACCCCATCTTCATTCATTGGTCCCTGGTCGGTTAATGACCTACTATTCCAAGTTATTTTCTCATCTTTCCAAAATATTATCTTTGTGAAAGATGAGATTTATAGTATAATGATTTGCAAAGATAAGAAAATAGCTTGGAATAGCAGGTCATCAACTGGTCAGGGACCAGTGAATGAAGATGAGGTGCAAAGGTTGGATTATTCATGAATAATCAAAAGGTGGGATTATTGAAAGAAGAACGCTAAAAGGTTGGATTATTAGTTTCCATTTTCCCTCCTCCTTTTTGTCTTTCATTTTTTTACTAGTATCGTGCGATGCACGGGAAAATAATATATCTATATTATAATAATTTTGATTATTTAAGAGGTCGTTTGATAATATTGAAATCGGTTAAATTGGTTGATTCTGCTGAAAATTATGAACTTTTAGCTGAAGTGGCTAAATTGGTTGATTCTGCTGATTTATGAAAAAATTACTCTGTATTTAAAATATATTTTATTAATAAATTAAAAAAATTATATGAAAAATGGCTAAAATAGTCATCTATAATACGGAGTAAAGATGTTTTCTTTTGGACTGAAATTTGCTGATCTGGTCTGATCTGGTCTGGTCTGGTAAACGTCTGGTCTCTGTGTATTTTATAACTACGGAAGTCTGGTCTGGTCTGGACTGATCTGGTCTGGTCTGATCTGGTATTGTAAACAGTCCAAAAGAAAATATCCTAACTTCAACCAAAAGAGCCAGAAAAGTAACTATAATCTTTTTTTATTACATTATTCAGTGCACGAAATCAAAAGTTACGTGTTTGATTAAAAAGTTGACGGATAAACCGAAAAATAGAGTCACTGAACGGGCTCTAAATGTGGCGAGTAAAATATTACTTTGTACTATTTTAAATGAAAGTGAAATACATTGATGCACAACAATAATAACATAAACAAACTTCTTATATAATATAAATTAGCAAAGTTGCTACAGTTTTTGGAGACAAAATTCCCGCTCATACGAAGGGTATAAGTGGAAATTAATATTGTATTAATACGAATGGCAATTAATATATATTCTGTATTTTATTAAAACTTCATGTCGGTATTAATATATATCACTAAGAGTGGCTAGCTATTGACACAACCTTATACTCCCTCTGTTTCCAAAAGAAAATCACGGTTTGACTTCACGATTATTAAGGAAATAAAATGACTTTAGTGTAGAAAACACTGTTTCGCACTGTTTGGCACTGTTTGGATGTAGATTTCTTTGCCAAATAAGGAAATAAGGGAAGTGTGACTTTGTTTTTGAAACATCCCAAAAAGGAAAGTGTGAGTTTACGGATGTTATATTACAAAGGTAATAAATGGAAAGGGTTGCTCAAGACAATCATGTAATTAATGGTGGGAATAAATACTTCTAATTTTGATCATAAATTGCAAAAATTTTGTTTGAAATCAAGTCAACAGCTTAATCAATATATTCGTAAATGTATATAACCAACATGCATTCAAATCAATGCTAAAAGCTAATGTACAAAAATTAATCATATTGGAAAAATCATACAAGTATTTTTCTGGTCCACTTGAATGAAACATGATCGAAATGCAAAAAATAAGTCAAATTCTCTAAATAAGAATAGTTATTATATTTATAGACAAAAATACTCCTAGGAGGGTTTAGATTGCCATTGGACTTCTACCGTCATTGATCGTCGGAATTCTGCCGCTGCCGTTGCCGCTTATCACCATAAATCTAAATCGTCTACCACCAAATTACCACCGTTGGGTTGCCGCCAGCACGTGTCTGCTACCCTGCTTTTCCACCAAGGGATTGACCTTGGGTATGTAAATGAAATGGGGGATTAATTATGTTAATTGATTATATTAGGGGCAGAAAGGTAAAGTTTAGTATTATCTAGTGAATAAAAAATCTAGGGTCCTATTTGTGCATTTATGTTTAGTTTTAGTCATATTAAGGACAATTTCTCTTTAATAAATTTGAATACCATCATTTTTGTTAAATGTATGATTATTCAATTTAATAATTTTGTGTGTGTTTTCTAAAAACAAACATAAGTTTCATTAATAATTATCCCTCAATAGGATGTGAATACAAAATGGAGGAATATCAAATCAAGAACAATCAGACCCAAAATAGCTTGCCTAGCGAATGAATGAGCAACCTTATTCACTGATCGTTGCACATATTGGACAGAAATATTAGCGACATATGTCATCATGTGTTTAATATCATCTGACAAAGTTGTATCATATGAGCATCCACCTGGGCAATTTACACCATTCACAGCCTTATGAGCATCTGAATGGCTACCGGTTCAGTAGAGCTTCCTGCAAAACTTTCCCTAAAATGCTGATGGAGTATATTCCCATCCATCAAATGTGTACTCCCTTTATCCAAAAAAAATTGCCAAATTTATTTTTCTTGGTCAATGACAATCAACATTGACTAAAGATTTTTTTTAATACAAAATTATTTTGAACACGAAAGTATAATATTTTTAAATTATTCACAAATATAATAATTATTTGCAAGTATAGTATTTATATTTAAATTATTACAAGTATAATAATTATATTACAAGTATTATTTCCTTATTCAAAAAATTTCCATAAAAGTATAATATTTTTAAATTATTTACAAATATAATAATTAAAATCATTGTCCAAAGTTTGTCATCATATGGTAATCCTTTTCGTGACAAGGTAGTGTTTTTTTTAATTCTAAGTTAAATACGGGGTAGTTTGAAGTGACTGTAATAAGAACACCTCCAATGCAAAAACGTGAACGGTGCATACATAGCATGAGAAACGGTCAATTAAAAAACAAAAATGTAATATATCTCTCCTTATTTGAATGGTCGTATATGTTTTGGTAAGTTTTTTCCACAATGTCAAAAACAATGTCTAAATGTTGACATTGTGGTTGACATTATTGAGAAAAACTTACAAAAAAAATGTCGTGAAAAGAAGGAGAGATAAATGTCATGAATTTAGTCTTTTCTGTCCATCTCTCTCATATCACATGTGGACCGTGCATACTGTAGCATTAGAGATACTATAGGCTTGACTTCATTTATATTAGCTTTATTTTATCTTCATTTAACTTAATGCTGACAAGTAAATTGAAATTGATATTTATATAAAATAATTTAATTTATAAAAGTATTACATTCAAGTGAATGTATATTTCAGCCCTTTTTAAAACCTGAAAACTACAATTCATCCTGTATTTTTTTGTTACCACTTTATGTATTTTATACTTTAGTATAATACTTTCAAGTAAAAGTTGATATAAAAAAACACCATGCTAAACCAATTTGTTCAATTACCTTGATTTGATTTCTTTTCGCTTTGGGAAATTAATTTTTATCTGCAATTAATTGTCAAGTATTACAAGAAAGTTATTGTAATCTATCAATCTAGAATAAAAAAGCATGGAAAGCTTTTATCTACCAAACTTTCGAAGTAAATACTAAATAGTAAAACAATTACCAATGGAAGTAGTTATTTAACACTTGAAAAACTGTATTTTCCCATGAAATTAATTAGATATAGCACCTTATTCAATTCTAAGTGTTTCTTAAACTCACGCCTCATTATTCAAAGTAATTAGAATTCCTATTATGTTCATGAGAAACATTGATTAATCTTCTAGAGCATGTAATATCTAGGACATGCCTTACCTTTCTCATGGGTGAAATGTTTTAGAGGGGAAAGTTATATATAGAAAAAATATTTGACAAATATTTAATCCCGTGATTATCTTTAATTTGGTCCCGTCAGTCAGTCACATAATAGAAGTTCTATCAAGTTTCAATGTAGGTCATTCCCAGTCATGGACAATCTTTGCATAAAGTAGACATTATTTTACAAAATCTGTTTTTACGCTGAGCAATATGTATCTTTCTATGTCCAGAGCCACCTCAAGAAGTGAGTAGAAAATTCTAATATGCAAAGATGAGAGTTGTGTAGTGTTGGCCACTAAGAATGTAATCTAAAAAACTTATGATAATTTTTATGCAACATTGAAAAAGGATTGTCCAGTATTATAAAATTTGGTTATGGCTAACAAAATAAACACTTCACATTGTATTATCACGACTTTTTCATTGCCAGGTACTATTTATTCTTACAATTAACATGTTTTTTTGTCAAATTTACTTTCAATTCTTCATACGACTTATGTTTTTCATTTTATATTTTTCTTCTATATAAAAATTACTTATTATAGGTCATCATTATAAAATATAATTTTAAATAACTATTTTACTTTAGATATTCCCGTGCATCGCACGGGTACATCGCCTAGTTATATATATATAGGAAGAGCATGTCATATATCATACGGAGTATAAAAAGTAATAGAAGAGTGAGGATTTAAGGAGTGATGGCAATGATTTTAGGGGGTGTTTGGAACTGATTCTGCTTCCGCTTCTTTTTTAAAAGCAGAAGCAGAAGCAGAATCAGAATCAGTTTTCAGAAGCTGGTACCCCCCAACTTCTAAAAAAACTGATTCTGAGATAAATTAGAGCTCCAGAAGTGCTTCCGGAATTTCACCCAAACACTCCAGCTTCTGCTTCTGCTCCCTGAAGGAGAGGAATCAGTTTTGAGAATCAGATCCAAACACCCCCTTATATACGGAGTATTAAATTTGTCTCGGATTTTTTTTGACACAAAGACCAACCACTAATCATATTTTAGTGTTTCTTAAAGGACTACTCTCAATTTTGTTATTTTAATGTTAACTTTTGGACTCGACATACAAATATTAATTTTGTTAAATATTTTTTTGGTTTTGTCTATTAATGTTATCTTTGGTACTTGATCCGTGATGATCAAGTTTTTTAGCCAACATTATTTTTTAGGTTAATTCTATTTACTAAATACACACACCATTTCCGTTTTTTCTATAATTCCATTCGTACCCATAATTCAACAACGGGAGTTGATTTACTTTTTTTTTTTCATAAGATTGCCAAATGTAGATTTAAAAAATGATTTTCCTTTAGATAAAGACATGCGTGTCGGGGGAGGGGGTGCGTTGTCATATTGTGCATGAAACTCATTAAATAATTGATAAAATAAATTATTAACCTCGTTGTATTCTTGTTTATGATCTATGTGGTTGTCTTTTTTTTTGGATGAAAATCTATGTGGTTGTCTTCATACATGTGAAATTCACCCAAAAAAAGAAGCATAATAGAAGTCTAAACATTGTTGCAAAGTACTAAGTTTATAACGAGGTTCAAGAATAAATATAATGCAATACCATAAATATGCGGAATATGTGAATAATATTTTAAAAACTTTTTTCATGAAATCACAAAAATAACTAACGTAAGGGGCATCGGAAAATTCACAAAAAGCACCGGCGAGATTAACAGCTTCACGATAAAATTGGTTTGAGGTGGATGTATAAACACGACATAAAGTTTCAGTTACATTATTAAAAAATACCAAAACATTCACTTTTTTTTCGCAGATGTTGTTGTTAGCCGGCCGGTTTATAATATAGTTTTGACATTCTTTTAAAAAGCAGGAAAATGGTCTATATCTAACAAGTACTTTGATCAATTTATAAATACTATTCCAACGAATAGATAAAAGCACAATATTTGACTTGTTTTCCCTCACATGATTTTGTCATTGTAATTTAAGTTGACCGCTAGCCCAAATAAGTCTAATTCCCCCATCAACTATCTTCGAAGCATTTCCTAACGCGGCTAGCCCGTCTTTCACACATAAATTGAGAATATGACATGCACATCGTTGATGAAAAATCTACCTATCAAAGTAGAAGAACCACACAATTCACGCAATCTAGGTATAACAACAGTATTATTACTAGCATTATCAAAACTCATGGCAAACACTTTATTATTCAAATTATACTCAATTAAAATACGCTCAATGAGAATATAAATATTATCAGCGGTGTGTCGATAATTAAATTCACGAAAATCAAGAACACGTTATCCAATTCCCAATCATCATCAATATAATGTGCAGTGACACCCAAATAATATAAATGATGATAACCATCCTCCCATATATCACTACAAATACTACCACGCCCATCAAAGCGAAGAAATTTTGTAATCTTGCCTTTTCGAAACCACAGAGCCTTATAATTTCTTTTTTAATTGTTTTGCAACTATAATTTTGAAATTGAGGATTTAAAGTACGCTGAGCATATTCTTTTAAAGCAAGACTTTGCAAAAAATAAAAGGCATATTTTCTTCAACAATTAAGTTGGACATACCACTCAAATGTTTGGAATCATCATATGATAAATTACTAAAGGGTTGGCTATTTGCAAACCTTGGCATTTGATTTTGCTTCTTTTTACCTTTGTCTAATTTCGCCCACTCTACTTTGTGACAAGACTTAATATGCACTACGGCGCTCCCGTATCCTTGTGAAATCCCCAAGATAAAATGTTTCTTACACCAATTGCAAGTTGCATATCACTTCATGGAAAATTCATTACGAATGACAAATTTATGGCAGAAAACAATGAAAATGTTGGCATTCTGAAAGAGAAATATGTCGTTTTTTTTGCATTTTCAAGAAAAATGACATTTTTTACACTAGTTGGAGGTGGTGGTGCAGGTAGGTAGTACAAGCGGTGGGAAAGGCATCCATACATTTTTTTATTTTTTATGGCAATTTACTATTTTTTATTAATTTCTTTTTATTTTTTTCATTTTTAATTTTATAATATTTTATTAAATGTTTAATTATTTTTCTATGAACTTTTGAATTTTTTCAAATTTATTATGAATTAAATGTTTAATTATGACTTTTGACCATCTTTTACTCATATTTAAAGGAGGGGTAAGAATGAAACGAAAAAATAGATATGTTAGCAATAGGATTAATATGATCCTGTTTTGGAATAAAAGGATAAGTTCTGTTTTAAGTTTAAAAAGCATCTCCAATGGTAAAATGTGCACGGTGCACACGTGGCATGAGAAATATCCACATAAATATTAGTAAATAAATTCTTTCTCTCCTTATTTGAATGATTTTATACAGTTTTGGTAAGTTTTTCTTCACACTGTCAAGGAGACCGTCTAGATGTTGACACTGCAGGGAAAAACTTACCAAAATTGTATAAAATCATTCAAATAAGGAGAGAAAAAATTTATTTACTATTATTTACTCCCTCCGTCCCATTTATATTGTCCCGTTTTACCTTTTCGGGAAGTCCCACTTAAATTGTCCCATACCATATTTGACAAAGTTTGTATGGCTCTAAATCATTCTTACTTTATTCTTACTTTATCAATTAATATAAACCACACAAACTCACTTTTCTTAATAACCGTGCTACCTTCTTCCGTCCCCATATAAATGGGACGGAGGTAGTATGGGAGTGTTTGCAACAGCTTCTGCTTTAAAAAAAGCACTTTTGGAGTGATTTGGAAAAAGTGATTATTTGTAAAAGTTGATAGTGTTTGAGAAAAAAGTGATTTTGAAAAGTAAAAGTTGGTAGTGTTTGGTAAAATAAGTGCTTTTGGTGTATAAAAAGTGGAAAAGCACTTTTGACACGAAAGCCGAGAAAAATAAAAAATTGGTAGTGTTTGGTAAATAAGTGCTTTTTTAAGCCAAAAGTTAAGAAGTGCTTTTTTTAAAGTGGTTGCAAACCAGCCTTATGTGGGCTATCACTTATGACACTGCCTCAGTTTTAGACTTTTAGAGGCCGTCGTCTCACAACACTGTTTCCGTATGTAATTTCACTAAAAAGTGGAGTAATTTCTGTTCCGTATGTTATTATCCGACAGCATCGACCAACAATCCTTCACAGCGATCCATATTCTGACACCATTCACATCATCCTAGTCACCATGCAGTCATGCACATCATCAACCACTCGTTGGAATCCATCTCAAAAATTATAACCCACTCTAGAGTCTATACACCATTCTTTGCTGGTCGAAGTCCCCAAACCAAAAATTGCTTGACACCATTCTGACCGAGCTCTGTGAAACTGCCCTCAGTGGTCGCTTACACAGCACCCCATTCCTATCTTCCTGTCTTCTTCAAAACGACCCTTTCAACAACAATAACTGACGTGTTACTGCTTGGACGCACGCAGTAGAAATGGCCACAGCTACTTCGCCGCCCCGATCCTTATTCCTCGGTGTCGACGTCGGCACGGGTAGCGCCCGCGCAGGTATCATCTGTCGCCTCACCTTTTCATACACGTGCATTCTATTTTACAAGTTTATTATGTATAAAATGTGCAGCTGTCATTTTATCAAGCTGTGAATTAAATGTGCACTGTTAAAATATAGAGAGTAGACTAGTAGAGGTTTATTTGTCACATGTGCACTACTCTAATCCAGCGTTGAAGTATATACCAAACCAGAATCTGCAACAGGAATGTTAGTGGAAGGGCGAGTATGTGTTTTTTAGAGAAGAAGAGGATAGGCTGGATATCAGAGAAGGGAAGTTAGGGATTTCATTGATACAATACTTTGAAGAATGAAGACAGAGCCGAACTGCCAAGCTGGGTTCTGTACGTGCTTCGTTCTAGAAACTAAGGAAAAAGAAAAAGGGCCCAGGGCAACTAATATACCCGTCATACTTAGTATTAAACACCCTAAGACTCAGCTTGGGAATCTGCTACACCTTGCACCGGCGTAAAGCTTAAAACAAAGTCAAACTAAAAGATGAACAACATATTTTCATTTAGTTTGTGTTACAAACCATTTCCATCATTTGCAATGGGGCCAAAGATTCATTAATTTTTGGCTTGAGAATATGATGAAATACAAAAAAATGGCTCACTAAACTGTCTGTGCTTCTTTGTTATAAAGCATCAGTCAGTCCATGCAATTTTGGATTCGATTTTCACTATGGGTCATCCAGAAACAGTCTATTTGTGCTTTAGTACAGGGGTAAGACTGCGTACATCCGACCCCCCCTTACCCCACCGTAGGTGGGAGCCTTTGCGGCATTGGGGTGAATGAAAATGAAAAAAATGCATTACAAACCAAACAAAGGTGTCAGACAATTATCCTGTAACTCTTCAGTGTAGGTGCTGTAGCATAGGAATGTTTAAGCTTCCACACATAGGGATATTCGAAGCATGTCGAGGAAGATGTGCTCTAACGAAGACGGGAAGAGTTACAACCAAAACTGTAATGGGCATTTTTTTAAGAGGAGGAGTAAGGGAAAATTCGCAGAAGAAGAGAAAAACCAAAGAAGGAAATTAAGGATTTCATTGTGAAATTAATCAGTATACAAAATCAATTGCCAAGCTAGTTAATATACTGAACGTGAACACAGAATTGAAGTGAAACCAGTGGGGTTAAAGGCACCAAATTTACTTTGAGCTTCCTAAGCTTCAGGAGCCTACTTCTAGCTTCACATCTTCAGTCCATTTCTGCACTACTGCTACTAGGGAGAAAGACTGACCACATCTGCAATCTTTAACCATGTCTCATCAGAATGGTGAATACTTTCAAATATCTTAATTTAAAACCAGTCATTTTCCCTTACATGAGGCTTTTGTGGGCAGTACAAAGAGAATAATCCCTTCTCTGAAATCTTTTCATGAAACTGTATATGATTAGTTTGTCGGATCGCAATGCCAAAATACTGTCAGTAAGACTCACAATCATGGGAGACCAGAACAGCCATGGTTTTCACTGGACTTATGGTCCTTCGGCAATTGTTACTTCCTTTAACGCTGCAGTGAAGCTTCCTGTATTTCAGCAGGTAGGTGCATTATACAAGGGAAATCAGCCTATTCTTAAAGTTGACAGCAGGGTGTGCAGTATAATGGATCCAACGTTGCTTCGGGTTCATGATTGGGGGATACAATTGGAAATCGCTGAATTCTTAAATTCAAAAAGAGAAATACAGTATGACTCCAGTTCTCTTAAACTTCCTGGTGACATGTGTGTGGATGAAGTTCTGTATGAGCTATACAGTGAGAAGTTTTACTCAAGAGATAGGATGAAGTCTGAGGGACATGCTAGGCCGAGGCTGGTCAAGAGTTTTTCATCTAGAGGACTAGAAGTATGGGAACTTCTGATACCGCCATCAGCGAGGTACTGGGAAGGGAAAGATACCCGGAGGAAGCTGAATTCCAGGATCGGTTCCTATCTCCCCAGAGATACCCGCCATAAACGGAAGACAGAAAAACAGGAGTCATCGCGGTCGCCAAGAACTTCTCTTAGTTTACAAGTTTCACATTGCCAAAGTACTGTCAGTAAGACTCCCAACTATGGGAGACCAGGAGACGGCAAGTCAAGTACCTTAAAAATCTAGCCAGATCTAATAAAGAATAAGAAACTTGATGTTTTACATTCAGTTTCACATATATAGTCAAAGTATAGCTGTGTCCTTTTCATTGTTAGTGTTCTTAGATTTATATTTTGATATCTCGTCTTGAAATATGTAAAGTGGCCATATTGCTTTTACCCTCTCCACTCTTTTTGCAGGTCTCTTCGGTGAGGATGGGAAACTTGTTGGTTCTGCTAGCAGCCCCATACAAATATGGAAAAATGGTGACTTTGTTGAGGTTTTAAACTAGTTGACATTGTTATTCCTGTGAATAAATTACGTCCTAAGCTAGATGACTATCATGATGTGCATGTTGATTTAACGGTATCATCTTGTAATGGTACATGTCCCGTCACAATCTCACGCAAATTTCCATATAACTTGAAAAAACCTATTATGATGATGGGGTTGGCATCTCATTCATTATTTCTTCTGAAGAAGCCTGTGACTAGGTCCTCTGGTGTAAAGCTCTATCACTGTTTTCTTGCAGGAACATTTGGTGTTAACTAATTTATATAATTAATTGACAGTATATTTTGTATGCTACCTAACAGACCTAGTTGAGATTATGGTTATGATGATGATGAATGATGGCATCTTTTCATGAATGCAGCAATCTTCAACTGATATTTGGTTAGCAGTCTGCACTGCTGTAAAAGCAGCATGCACTCTTGCAAATATTAATGGGAATGATGTAAAGGGCCTTGGCTTTGATGCAACTTGCTCCTTGGGTCTGTAATTTATATTTAATTTAGGTCATATACAAGACCTTATTGAACATTGAGTTTTGCTCTTTGGCTCTTTGATCTGGATACTTTGGTTTCCTTAACAGTTGCTATTGATTCTGATGGCGAACCTGTTACTGTTTCTTTGAGTGGTGATGCAAGAAGAAATGTCATACACTGGATGGACCACAGGGCATTAAAACAAGCTGAAAGGATCAACTCCACTAAATCATCGGTATTACAATATTGTGGTGGTGCTGTTTCCCCTGAGATGCAGCCTCCGAAGGTACATTAGTTAGTAAGATGTACAGATTGAAGGGACCAACTCCTCTACCTTTACTTCAATATATTTGCTTGGAACACATCACTAGATAATAGAGCTGTTCAAGGTTTGTGTATTATAGATGTTTTGATCCCACACAACCTGTTGTGGTAACCAACACTACAAGTGGGTCTCAACTCTCAAGGTCCTATGATTTCTGAATAAGTAAAACCATACCCAAAATAAATCTGACACTACAACCTAGCTTAGATTTTTTTAGCCTTTTCGACGATGTTGACTGGGGAATATAAATCAAAAAGCAAAATGAAAAAGTAGAGAAATAATGTGGGAAGAAGAGAAAGAAAAGAAATGAAGGAGCACAACAAGGAATAAAAACTGAATTGTTGCCATGTTCAATATTTCATATTTTCAATTTTAATTTAATCAAGTCAAAGTAGAGCTCATTTGGGGTTATGTAATGTAAAGTAAAGCTCAATTAAGTAAAGCTTGCAGTAGAGTTCAATCAGGTAAAATAAGAAAAAAGGTAAGTAAGGTGAAGTGAAGTCAAGTAAAAGTTCAAGTTTAATAGGCTTGTCTGTGCACTAAGGTTAAGTTAAAGTTGGAGTTCAGTTTTCAAGTGGTTGCTGTCAAAGTGAAAGAGACGTCAATTGAATAAATTACGTGTTTGAGTGAAGTTTAATTCAATAGAAATTCCAAGTGTTCAAGTAATAAATTTCAAGTTTTCTATAAATCTTGGAGCATATGATGTAAACGAACCTGCTTGAGGGGGCTGTTTACTATAGGAATATATAAGGATTAGGTCCATTTGTTTTCTATATAAGCATTCCACTAGTCATTAGAAAGTGATCAAGATGTAAGATGTTAGTTTATTTTAATGGGGTCCATATTATTTAGCAAGAACCATGCGTCAGTGACAAAACCATATCAATTCAGTGGTAGTCTAAAAGGTGTCTCTGTTTTTAGGCATTCTGGTTTCTGTTTACACTGATATGCATAAAGTTGGCTATCATAGCTGTGTCTATTTTAGAATTTCATTTCATACTGCATCAGTGATTCCATTAAGGCGAAAAACACTAAGCTATCACTGAGAAAGACAAACCAGGGAATCAACGAAAAGAAGATGAATGAATCACATACTGTAGATCTTATGATGTTCACAGAACAGGAGAATGCAGAGAACTATGCCCCCAATTTTTTTTTAAATCCAGATCTCCCTTCACTGAAATGGACTCATGTCCTTCATTCATGATTAAATGCCTTCCCGATATCCATACAATTCTTGCTTTCTTTTGTGGAAAGATAGTAAAATCGCTTTCACTTGATCAAACAATATGTTTTCTGAATATCATAAATCTGTCATTTCATTATATTCTTGTGCATTTCAGTTTTTGCATTTCAAAAACAGTCTCTCTGTGCTTTAGTACAGGGATAAGGCTGCGTACATCAGACACCCCTTACCCCACTATTGGTGGGAGCCTTTGTGGCATTGTGATGGTTTCAATTGCATGTTATTAAGGAACACAAGAATATTGTTTGGTGGTATTTTGGCGGGTAGATTATTACATGTGTTCCTCCTGATATTTGTAATCATCTTGCTTTCTGTTACGAGAAGAACTGAGTGAAATTGCTTTCACTTAATGCACAACCTTTTCTCGTTTATTGAATATGTGTCTACCCTTCTATTGATTTTCTTCTGCATTTCAGCTATTGTGGGTTAAGGAAAACATGCAAGAATCTTGGTCAATGGCATTTAGGTGGATGGATTTGAGTGATTGGCTTTCATACAGGTAAGGTATTTTTTCTGATGCAGATGTTTTGAATGTTTTAATGGTTACAAATGTCATCTTTCATGGATTTCAATATCACATAGAGCAACAGGAGATGATACCCGGAGCCTATGCACTACTGTTTGCAAATGGACATATCTTGGTCATGCTCATATGCATCAGGTCAATGAGAAAGACTCTCGCAGTATGGAAGCTTGTGGATGGGATGATGAATTCTGGGTGGAGATTGGCTTAGGCGATCTTGTTGATGGGCATCATGCTAAAATTGGTAATTTACTGAAATTCATTTCAGTTATTTAATTGTATTGGTTGCAACCAAGGTTGTCAAGGTAGCTAGAGATGGCACATTGGCACCAAGAGATAAGTTATTGTATGTAACATTTAATATATATATATATATATACATATATATATATCATGAAATATAATATACTTCCATAATATACTTCCAATTTATCATACTAATTCAATATCCATTTCCTATAAACTAAAATAGGAGCTACAAATATCATGAATAAATTATTACCATTGTCATGACTAGGGATGTTTTTACTTGGACTGTAATCTCTCCCAGACCAGACCAGACTTGAATAGTTATAAAAATACAAAGAGACCAGACCAGCAAATTACAGTCCAAGTAAAAACATCCTAGGAGGAGTAGGTGGAATTTAGAAAATGTTCTACTTCATACTCCCTCCGTATTTAAAAGATCTCTACGTTTGGTTATGGCACAAGATTTAAGGTAGAATAGTAAGGGTAATGAATAGTATAGGAAAAGTAGGAGAGAAGGTGAAAAAGTAGGAAAGAGAGGATAAAAAGTAGAAAAAGTAAGGGTAATTCAGTATTTTTAAAGGAAAAACTTACCAAAAAGGGAAAGTGTAGGGAACTTTTAAATACATCCCAAAAAGGAAAGTGTAGGGAACTTTTAAATACGGAGGGAGTATCAAACTTTTCTTTATCAATCATTCTTCATGTGGGAGTGGATCTCTGACTTCGAGATTAACTCTAAAAGTTCACCACGGAAACTAGTAACATACTGACATCGCCAACACAAGCTCTCCCAATAAGATTGTGAGTCTGTGAACCCCTGATGCAGCCATAGCTTCATTAAAGTTTTTAGCAGTGAATCTTGATTGAAATTGCACTACATGGAAATATCTCTGATGTTCATTTTTTCCTTTACGGTACTTATAGATGTAATTTTGTCCAGGAAAAAGTGTAGCCTTCCCTGGTCATGCCTTGGGCTCTGGCCTAACCCTGGCAGCTGCCAAGGCAAGATTTTCTATCGATAATTAAGCTTTAACTTCACATATTTTGAAGCTTATGCTTTAACAAAATTGACTAGAAAGCTGCTTTCATTTCAGGATTTGGGTTTGGTGGCTGGGATACCTGTAGGCACTTCACTAATAGATGCTCATGCTGGCGGTGTGGGGGTAATGGAAAGTTTGTCTACATCTGATGCTGAACCAAAAGGTTGTTTTGTCTGCTGTTATAATTTTAATGTTTAATGTCTGTATCAACATCATTTACTTAGCAGAGGAGTTTAATGTGTATGTAGAAGCTGATGCTGAATCCATATGCCGCCGTATGGTTCTGGTATGTGGCACTTCCACTTGCCACATGGCCGTGTCTCAAACGAAGTTGTTCATACCAGGGGTCTGGGGTCCTTTCTGGTCATGTATGACTCCATCTCTTAAGAAGAACTTGTTTGCCACCTTTTTGTTATTATATTTACAATCTCAGGCTCAAAATGTTCTTTCCAATTTCCTTTTGGTTCGTCTCAAATAGCTCTCATTTCGTTCAGTGCAAGAGTTGTGTAGTTTAATGTTTATCTTGAGTCTTCCTTCCTGAGTAAAAATCTCGACCACATAACTTCACTGCCTAACAAACAAACTTAAAAGCAAAGGAGAAGAATATCATGAGACAGAGGGTTATTTTTGTAATATAAATTATAATAGAGGTTTTTTCACAAATATTACCAAAAAATAATTAATGGACAAAAATATTACTATAGTTACTATGCAAGTCACTATAGTGGTAGATTTGAACACAATCATGGTCACTAAAGTTACTATGGTAGTCATTGTTAGACGTTTTCGTCATTGTTTATTATTATTATTGCCATTATTATTGTTGTTATTCTTAACTTTATTATTGTTCTTAATGTATAGACACTAAATGAAAACCTAGGCTTTGAAACCGTAACATCTCGTCCATTTGGAAGGAATATCTCAATAAATGTAATAGATTTGTATCCAATATGAATTGGATCTGTGCTCTAAACTCAAATTACTATCAGTATCCTGCCCTTTATTCTTTTCCATCCATGAACAATGTATCTTGTGTTTGAGTGTTTCTCACCTGACATATTTTGGTAGTTGTATTGGAGAATGAACACCACCATTTGCAATGGAACTTTTTCGTGACCCTTCACCTAGAAGTTGCCCAGAGGCTACCATAGCATTCACTCTTATGCAGCACCCTAGTCTTGCTGAATTCCGGCCATGTGGTGGTGACATGTGCTGTTGCCTTTGGCCTTTTCTTAAATAATTTTCCAGGATTACCCTTAGGCGGTCCATCACAACCCATCACTGAGAAAGCAACCACAAAGTGTCATTCCATACAACCTCATGCAACACCGTAGTATTCTCGAGTTCCGACCACATGCCTCCATATGCTGACACCTGCAGATTCTTTCGTCCTTCTGCTCATCTGAATCGAAACCTTCTGGCAATCACTCGCTAGAAGCCCCACCTTATTTATCTTGAGTTTCAACAACGTCATTATGTGCCGATGTGTGTGGCTGCTTTTGTTGTCCTTTTCAGATTAAAACCACTATTTGATCGGAACCTTCTTGCAAATTGCAATCACTTGTTGAGAAGCCCACAACAAAATACCATCACACGCCCTCACGTCTCGTTGAGTTCCGGTCACACGTCGGCATTTGCAGCTCCATTTGGCCTTCTTTGTTTTTACAAAATTCTCCAGATAAATTTATATCCCTTAGATGGGACTGTCACGACTTCTTGCCAATAATCCACCTCATGGTGTTTTTGCATGCACTCTCATGCAACAACACCATTTGAGAATTTAAAAACAATTGTAAGCTGTGTGTGCTAAATGGAGTTCCAATTACATTCAAACATGCTTTTAGGTCTTTTGTTAACCAAACAACTTTCATGTCTGTTGGACCCACTTAATTGTGCTTTCATCTTTTTGTAAATGAAATCTAAATGGATAGAAATCAGAAAAGTACCTTTTAAATGATGTATACGACTCTTTCCCCATCTCTTAGCCTGCATAAGACGATTGCATTTGTTATTGCTTTTCTAAAATTTCATCCTGCTTTACTTTTGATGCTCTACTCATTTGCATTGAGATAGTATTACTGTTAGAATGTATGTTATTTATGCAACTACTAGTTAGCATAACTAATACTATTTTAGTTGTGGCATCCATTATAAGTACTGGAATTTGAAATATACATTATTGTATTACACATATTTGAGTTTTAGGCTGTTCCTTTGATGAAGTTCCACTTCTAACCTTTCCTTTCCTGATGTATTTAGCAATGGTCCCTGAGTACTGGCTTACAGAGGGTGGTCAGAGTGCCACTGGATCATTGCTGGATCATGTGATTAAAAATCATGTGGCATCTCCACATCTCGCTAACTGTGCTGCATCTCAAAGTAAAATATTACAAAGTTTTGTTACTTTTGTAACTCATTGTAAAAGAATATTCCATTCAATGTCATTTCCCTTGAGTTATGATTTAATGCCTTTGGACAATCATGTGTGTAATATTTGATATATTCTTATGCTAGTCTTCAGTTTTTCTTTGGTTATTCACCTTTCACAGGAATTTCGGTGTTTGAATTGCTGAATAAGATATTAGAATCTATGAAAAATGATGTGGGAGCCCCATTCACTGCAGCTTTGACTGATGATATACATGTCCTCCCGGATTTCCATGGGAACAGGTAACACAGCAGCTTTAATGAGCTCATTATTATGTATCTAAAATCTGCACTAACTTCCTACATCAGATCTCCCATTGCAGATCCTAACTCAAAAGGAGTAGTTTCTGGTATGACTCTAGACACTAGTGAAAAGCAGCTGTCTCTTCTCTACCTAGCCACGTTACAGGGTATTGCATACGGTACCCGTCATATAGTAGAGCACTGCAATGCGAATGGCCATAAAGTAAGGATCTTTCCTGGCTCTAGGCCTCTAAATAAATAATTACATACACACACAAACTTAAAGGACTACTATGTAATCATATATCTGTATTGTGACTCATGGGGTCAGGTGTACATTTGGTTAGTTGGGTGGTTTTATTGGGTAGTTAACTCACAATCTGATTAAAACTTTAATTGATTGGGTAATTTTATTGAGCTGTTAAGATGAGTATCATGAGATTGATGTAAATATTGCTTTCTAACTTTTATCTTTTTCACATTCCTTTGCAAATTTAGATCACTGTATTCTTGTTCATTTCATAGGGACATTTGATGTAAAATAGAATGCAGATCTTAGTTGGGTACTGTACTGATTGTTTTTTAAGTGTCGTCTTGTTTTTATTCACCTTACAAGATGGGGTAGGTGGAAATGATACATACTAAATTATACCAATGTCATAGTGGGCGCATGTAGAAGATCATAAGAGATATTTTAATTCATTATGGACAGTACAAATGTACTATAACTTGGGGAATATTTACTTACTGAAAAACTATCTTCTTTATGGAAAATGGAAACCATATTAACCTCACTTGTTTTCAAAATTTAGTAAACAAATCCATCTTTACTCCACCAGTTTTTCAAATTTCGAAAACAAAAAAAAATGTAGTCCAGTTTTTCACATTTTCATAAAATTAGTAAACAACTTTTTTATGTTTTCCAAAATAGAGAACTATTTTCAGAAGTTGATACCAATTACCACTGGCAACTGCGGTTACCACCTTTCTACTACTAGCCATGAAAATTTAGGATTAGGTTGGGAACTTGGGATCATCCAACTTGGCCATAATGCACTTCCGAAATCACATTAAATGATTAATAAAGTCATTAAACTCAATCGATTATTTATTCCAACCAAACATACATTTCTCTTATTAGTTTCTTATACTCTCCTCAAGTGGACAACTGAATCATTTTGATTCTAAGCGGTTGGTAACTTTCAGCCCCCCTCGTTCAAATTTCAGTGAGAGCATGTCAACACCTAAAAGATTGCGGATTCTTGGGGATTGACTTCCATATATAGGCAACCAGATTAAACAGGCTACAAGGTTCTAGCTCGATCTAAATTATGAACCGAGGTAACAACTTACAAACCACTGGGGAAGGACTTCCGGTTAGACAATTAGACAAAAGAGTTGGGTCAAAATCTGCTCTAGTACTATGGCATAATGTCAGGGTTAGTGGCCACTGAAAGGCCACATTGCACTTGGATCAATTTATCCTAAAGGATTGAATCAGTCGATTGGCTAGTTCAACTCAAAGTCTTAGAAACCTGCCTATCGCTTTTAATATTTCAATGTGGACTCTTACCGTACACCATCACCACCAACATCAGTTATTTCTTATCAGCCTCACATATACTAGAAGACGGGGTCCTGTCTTGCCATATAATACAAAAGCTTCTCTCTGTCCAAGTTATGAGAAAAAAATCCCTTTTTCCAATAGAAGAGTTTTCCAAAAGTAGCACCTTAGGTGGGAGCCTTAGGTGTGTATTCTTTTTTCCTTTCGTCATTGTGTTTCGAATTACTATGGGTCATCCGGAAACAGTCTCTCTGTGCTTTATTACAGGGGTAAGACTGCATACATCCGACCCCCCCCTTACCCCACCGTAGGTGGGAGCCTTTGCGGCACTGGGGTAAATGAAAACGAAATGAAAACGAATTGTGTTTCGAATTAATGCACATGATAATATTCATTCAGGCCTGCTTTTTAGCCGTTTTACTTTTCAGTTTTCTTATCTATATCTTTACTACGATAGTATTATTATTTTGTGTGTGTGTGTATGCATATATTATATAATACAAGTACAGGGTGTGGTTCGAGTGATACGAAAATTTATATTTTGTTTTAACCTTGCTATTTCCTTTTTCTGAAGCCTCCCTCTCTATAAAACATATAAGCATAGTTTTAAATGGTGAACGTGGCTTAGGCTTAAAGGCGTTGGAAGATGACAAAGAGTCTATCAGAGTTAGTAAATGGAAAGGTGGTTTACGCTTTAATGTCATTGAGGTGGTGAGGCACCGAGTTTTAATGGCTATCTAGGCTTAAGTTTTAACGAAGGTCTAATACATACTATCCTCCGTTCTTTAATTCTTGCAACACTTTGAGTTTCACGTTTGCCAACGCACAACTTTGACTGTAATTATATTTAATTATGTATTAGTAAACATTATAAAAAGTTGATATTTTGGAAATTCACATTGATAGGAATTCAATAACATTTTATACGAAATAATTTGATTATGTATATTAGTAGAAAATCGTGGTCAAAGTAAGGTCTGTGAATAGTGCAAAAGTCACAATGTTGCAAGAATTAAAGAACGGAGGAAGTATATAGTATTACAAATTAATAAGTAAGTCATAAATTAAGAAGTACAAATCAGATAAATCATTTCTTTGGTGATTATTTGATAATCCCAAATCTGTTATCAGCCAGCTATGATAGCTCTTTTATTTGATAAATTTCAGATTTGATGCTAAATTAGATCCTTATATGTATCAGTGTATCACAGACTATAAAATACAAGCTCAATCTTGGTTATCTCATTATTTTTATGAGAAGTAATTTATATGGCCAGACACTGCAACAACATCCAAGCCTTGTTCCCAAAAGATTTTGGGGTAGGCGAATGGCCAGACACTAGAAAACACTTAAATGTTTCTGAAGAAGTCTATTGAATTGGTAGTTTGGTACTACGCGGCTATGCCATGTGAAAGACATCTGATTTCCATGTGGATTGAGAGTTTACGTAGGGTGGCTAGAGGGTTTTGCATTTCGCCATTTACGAATATAGCATTTCATTATTGCATGAAAGTGAACCCCATATTCATTTCATGTGTTCATATGATTATAATTTGTTTGCATGACTATTATGCATATCAAATGTCCTTTACTCTTATCCAGTCTGTCTCACTTTTTTGCTTCCAGATTGACACACTACTTGCATGTGGTGGTCTTGCTAAGAACTCCTTGTTCATCCAAGAACAGTCAGATATCATTGGTCTCTTTCTTTGACTACTTTGCTTGTGTCTTTTTGTCTAATACAAAGTTATGCTTAATATTCATAGGTTTAACTGTTTATGTATATCTATAGATGGTTCATCATTTTGATACATTGATATTCCATGTTGAGATGAAACATTTTACATGGGCCATGCATGTGAGTATCCTAGGAACCTCCTAGGAATTTATATAATTGATTTTTCATATATATTTTTTTTATTATGATTGCATATGCTTTGTCTCCCTTTTTCTCTATTTATTGTTTTAAACTCTGATATCATATGTCAATCATGTTAGCCGACCCCAAACTTTTTTGGGAATGAGGCTTGGTCTTGTTGTTTTGTTGCTGTTGTTGCATATACTTTTTTCATTCATGTTGAACCGTGTTAGGAGTTGTCACATAGTTTTAATTCAGAGATCCTCATGCATATACTTTCACTTGCTCTCACTTGCTTTTTCTTTATAATCTAAATTGTGTTGCAAATTCTATTGGCTCTCCTTGCTTCTGATGGAATAGGCTACCCCGTAATCCTTCCGCGTGAAAATGAGCCAGTGCTCTTGGGAGCTGCTATCCTTGGTGTTGTTGCTTCAAAGAAATATCCCACTATTCGTGATGCTATGAAGGCTTTGAATGCAGCTGGAAAGGTATGTACTGCCATAGAGGCTTAGGCTAACTTGTTTTATACTTCTCTTAGCAAGCTGGCTTACTCGTCTAGTGACCCCCATTGGCCCTATGCCATCAGTAAGGAATTTATTGCATGCTTGTTCTCTTTGAGTTTCCTGGTCTAGTGACCTCTGTTTTCCCTTCTGCTGTTCAGCTTGTGGTTATTCTTATTGTTATGAGAAAGAGTAATACATAATAGTACTCTGTAATACTATTAAGGAAAAATTCACATAGATAATCCCAACTATCAACCGTCTTCCAATATTAATCCCAAATACACATAATTCTAAAATAATCTCAAATGTAGGAGTGGTCTTCCCGTATTGATCCGGTTTACCGGTAACCTATTCAAGTGGTAAAAAATTAAAATAAAAACAAAAAGCTAACCGTCGCTTTGTCCATTTTTTGCCGGAGTCGGTTTTGTCAATAAGCTTCTTCCGTAATAGCTGCTCCATAAGTTTCTCCTCTCTATTTTTTATTTTTTCTTTTCTCTTATTTTTTCTCCATCCACGGCGCATGGAAATCTCCTCCAACCTTCCATTTTATTTTCAAATTTGTTCCTTAAATTTGTAGTTCATTCTTTCAATTTCATATTTGTAAGATTTAATTTGGTAAATCCCAACTTAAATTAGACATTATTATGCATCGTGGTTGATGATAAAACTTGAGTGGTGGAAGAAGGACGATGGATACCAGGCTAGCTGGCAGCGATGAACAAACGGATGGCGCTTGAGATCAACGGATCGGAGGGCCGGTGTTGACGAACAACTGAGATGAACGACAATGAAGACGGTCGGACAGCTGACGTCGAAGGGCGGCTGAGTCAGATTGTCCCAGTTGAAGATCTGCAGGGACGTGCTGACAACCTTGCTCGCCTGAAACATTGTACGCCCAAGCCCTCATGGAAAGGAGATGAAGAAACAGTAGGAAAACAATAAAGAAAAACAAAAAAAATTATAATCCAATTTAAGTATGACACGTGTCTAGGTGACCTACTGAAATGGTTTATTCAGGTCACCGGCTTGTTTTGGGAAGATGCCTATTATAAATTAGATTATACTAGAATTACTAATAATTGAGATTATTATAAGAGTCGTAATAGCTGGGATTATTTGTGTGAATTTTTCCTACTATTAATGCTTAAAATGCATAATGTATATACACAAACATGTGGATATATTAGGCATAACCCACACATGGTTAGACACATCACACCCAAGTTTGTTAGCGCTTTTATTTATTTAAACTTCAACTACATCCCAAGATGTCATGGTAGAATGCTCGAAAAAATAGTTGAACACTGAGGATATTTAAAAGTGTGAAATGTGGGAGCCACCTCCCACCAGTTAACGACAGCTAAATAAAATTGTAACGACAGCTAGAATATTCTGAAGTATATTCTAATACTCTAAAGTATATTCTATATACTTTCACAAAAATGAAGACTAGAGGGTGGAAAATATATTCAATCATTTTCATTTTCATTTACATTTACCCCAGTGCCGCAAAGGCTCCCACCTACGGTGGGGTAAGGGGGGGTCGGATGTACGCAGTGTTACCCCTGTACAAGCATAGAGAGACTGTTTCCGGATGACCCGTAGTGAAAATCGCGTCCAAAATTGCATGGACTGACTGCTGCTTCATAACAAAGAAGCGCAGACAGTTTATATGCTTGGAAAATATATTCAATGAAATATTAAATGTGTTGTATACATAGAGCGGGAAATGAAACCTTGAATATGAAATAAACAGACTTCTGAAACAGTATGCTAAAGAGGTCATGTACAACAGGATTATGAGCTTGTAACCTAGCTACATTATACTTCAACACTCCCCCTAAAACTGGAAAGTACAACTGCTTCAAGTTTGGACAGTCTACTGGTTAACACAACAACATAAATATTCATAATATGCTTGTTTTCAATCACTTCTTCAGAGTCATTGGTTTCTAATGGATTTGCTGGTCTAAACATTCTTTGTTGATGGCACTGGTTGTGAATATTCTTATTGGTTGCTGCAGTGTTACCATTTGTTATTTGGTTGCACATGCTTAAACATTTTTTAACTGAAGAATCACACTGCTAACATATTGTCATGCAACCAAATCATGATGCTATTTACTCAGAGTGATGACATCATTATGTCAAATGGTTAATGTCTACCTACTTATCACTAATTAGCTTTAAGAAGAATATGTCAACTAATGACCTCGGAACTTTGTAGTGCAAGAATGTGTAACACACTAGGAAGTCTGTTAAAAGGAGGAACCAGGCTGTTAAAGTGCCTCGATCCAATAGTGATGTAATTAGATAAACTTGGAGGTCATGTGAATGTTCAGGTAGGGACTTAAGAAATGGGATGGGTAAGATTGACTATTCAGGCAAGGATTCCTGATATCGACTGAGGTGACTAAGATCTGGGATAGGTAAGATATTTAGATCTGAAAAATTGTAGAATGATATGCTGGAGAGGATGAATATGGAATATAATCAAAATATGTAACAATGAGATATTGAGTGAGGTTTATGTTTTGGGCAGTTGGGTGTTGTGTCTTGAACTAAAAAAGCTCACAGAAAGGTATGAGGTAGGACACTTGGAACTGAAGTAAAAGTGTGCGAGTCGTTTTCACTAAATTTGAAAAGCTATAGATATGTAACACTATAGTACGTAAAACATAGATGACTAGTGAATCGCATAAATAGTCTCCGATGCGACAAAACAAGGTTTAGAGTAAGCAGTGGTAACAATAAGGTGTTGCAAGCTCAGTTGCTCAGCTGCTCTTTGTTTCTTTCTGAATTTTGTCCTCTTTCACTTGTTCTTTCTCGGTGATTGTTCTTATGTATGATTATTTTAGGAGTAATTCATGTATGTAGGGAGAAGGTTATAAAATGGTTTAGGAATGGTAGTCATATTATATTCAGTCCTCAAATGAATAAACAATGGTAACACACTAACACCCATGCTCTCACTAGAATGGTACACCCATGCTCTCACTAGAATGGTATTCTCCTCATATAACATTATCTCCATAAAGTATTCCCTAACCCTATAGCTACCGATATCATTGCTCCTTTTGGAGAGTAGTACATATAGTTTTTTGTACGCCTCTCTTCTGATTTATGGTTTTCTTTTTTGTGTTTGCAGGTTATTTACCCATCAAAGGATCCAAAAGTGAAGAAATACCATGATGCAAAATATCGCATTTTCAGGCAACTTTATGAGGAGCAGCTTAGCCATCGGTCAATTATGGATGAAGCTTTGGCTTAATTTGTGCTTCTAAGATGTCTGTCATGCCATCAGAGACTAAGTTCAATTCAGTGTATTCAAAATAATAAAAATTAATAAAGACAAAATGAAAAAAATTTAACAAGCTCCTTCGTAGCTTGCAGAGAAAATGTACAATTATTTCTCGCAAAAGATTCGTTGGCCATCGTTGGTGTCTGTCACACCAATGTATATTTGGATGGGGTTTCGTTTGCTTTAACGAGTCCTAATGACTCCTGATTGTTGGAGATTTATTGGAAAATATTGTTCAATTGTTAATTTACATGGTCCATTAATCTTTTTGTTGAACAAGGAATTTTATGATGTGATAGTTATTATTTAATTTATAGTACTACGGTTATTCTTGCATGTGGTATTGTGATCTCATAATATTAACAATAACATTACATAATTAAAAATTATGCATGGATTTCCTTGCTCATTTAAATGCTCCGTACTAACTTTTATTATAAATGAAAAATGGCGCCGCATTGCGGCTGTTTTAACAGGTGTGTACATTTTATTATATACGTAGTATTAAATGGAAATCGTTTGATTAAAAGAAAGGTTTTAGTTTCCTTTAATTTATGTACGTACTAACATACGCGTTCTTTTGGAAATGGTGTTATAACCGTTCAACAATAGAAGTATGGAAGTATGGAACACCTCGTACATATGATAACAACTCTTTTAATAGGAGTTATCTTGTGTTTATAAATTTGAAGGACCATATGAAATTGCAGAATACGAGAAATCAATTTTGCAGTTTTCTCTTGTGTTACTAAATACTAATATCTGCGGCGCTAGGGTTGAAGTGCTTAGACCACTATATATACAAATTACTTGTTGGATGTTATTTTATCAGTAGCTAAAATACATCATACATTTTTTTATCTTAAAAGTTCTATCTTGTAACTCGGTTACTGTAATAAGGTCATATAGTAAACTGTTAGGAAAGCGTATTTATACATGACTAGAAGCGTTATACGCAGGGGTGGATTCGGGCCGGGCCTCCGGTTCAGGAATGGGGGCCCGGAACCGGCCCAGGTAATCCCCGGTTCCGGGCCGGTCCGGGCCTTAGTTATTTTTTTTCCTCTTTTCCTAGTTAACCCCCAACCCTCCCCCTCACCCCCAAACCACCCCAAATGGCCCAAAGTACCCAGCCCAACCCAAAAAGAAAAAAAAAATGAAAAAAAATTAAAAAGGCCTGGAACCGGGCCCAAACCGGCCGGGCCGGTTCGTGATTTGGGGGGCCCGAGCCCGGACCGGACCCCAGCGGGTCGGGCCTACCCGGACCGGTCACTGACCGGGCCACCGGGCCAGGCCGGTTCGGGCCGGAACAATGCCGGTTCGGGCCGGTTCCGGGTCGGGCCACCCGGCCCGAGTCCAAGCCTAGATATACGGTCTAGCCATATTTATACACCCTTATATTTTACTAGTTTTATCCGCCAGATATAACACTAATGACTGACACAAAACAAAGTTCTCACTCACAAATCCGCTTACCTGTGAATTGGCTGCAAGTCTTCAACCCCCATTAACCATTCGTGAACAAACAGATCATGAAGGACAGGCCGGAGTATATATTGATTATGAACATGTACTCCTTTAGCCCACACGTTGACTACATTCTGATTAACTAAAATCACCTATAGTCCCTATAGATAAAGAACGTACTATTTGTTCGACAAAAACATTATGTTTACTTCTCCATCGTTATCTTGAAATTTATCTTCACATATTTTAAATCAAATACTCCGTATATTATGATTATTGTAATGTCGCTTTCTTAGAAAGTTAAAACCAATTGTAATCACAGAATTTATCCGGCAAAGAACTATCCAAACTTGTTTTAACGGGTGTTTGACAATTAGCGGTTTACTATTAACTGATAATAGATTGTAATAGTGGATTGATACAAGCAAGCATATTATTTTAGATGTTTTGATCAACCCTACCATTAGTGGTTTGAAGTAAATTTTGAAGTAAAATGTTTAGTAATTTAGCTAATTAGTCGATATTCTGATATGTAAAATGACTTTTACATATATGAATGCTAAAGTATTTATATATTTATTTATTGTATTAATTAATATAACTTTTTGCATGTTATTAATTAATATAATTAATGTACATATATATTATAATTTATATTTTAATATTAATAAATTTAGATAACTGTTGGGAAAATTTTATAAAATTACATTGACTATAATTTTGTATAGTTACTACTATTGTTATTTTTAATATACACATGTGTGTGCGCGCACATATTTTAGTTTTAAATAAAATTAGTTTTAAAATAATATTATAAGATAGCAACATATTCATAATGATATTTCTTCTTGTTCTTATTATTACTCCGTATTTTATTGCATTTAATCTTTTTATTTTTGAATAATTATTAGATATTTAAAGAATAAGGGAATCATGAAAGGCATATTAGATGTGTAAAATATAAAATAAAAAGTCACAGTGAAAAAGCTACTCGAAGCAACTTTTTTCATTTTTTTTTTATATTTCGCTTCAAACGGCCAAATGAAAAAATTGTGTACGTTATATTAAAGATGTTGTTTGTTCCTTAAAAAAAGATGTTGTTTGCAATCGTCGATCAGTCAAAGTCAATCAAAAACGTAAAAAGTAAAAGGATTTGGAATTTATCAACTTATTATTAGGAGTTCAATTATCAATTGAATACATCGCTTTAACTCACTAAGTTGGTCAAGCTTTTACAATTTTTGCTTAGTGCCCCATTAAAAAACTGATCGAGTGATCGATATGCCCCTATTAAAAAATTGATATGCCCCCGTTAAATTTTCATGTGTAACATTTTTTTATCTGAGTTTGTATGTCCTCACTTGGTTAACATTCTCTAATCACTTGACATAAAAAAGAGTTATACCAAGTTCTTTGATTGAATTTTTTATGTAAATTTAGTTTCTACGTGGTTAGGGTCTTTATTTGAGTTTCAAGTTTAATACTCCCTCCGTCCCTAAATAAACTTCCAACTTTCCTTTTTCGTCCGTCCCAATTAAAACTTTCAATTTCCCTTTTTGACCAGAATTTGTGGTTCACAGCAATTCTTACACATTTCTCTCTCCTCTGCACAACTCTCCACCATACAATACCCACTATCTTAAACTTTGCGGCAAACCTATTTGGAAGATATAATAGGGACGGAGGGAGTATTTTGATTTTCAATTTCCATTTTTATCCACAAATCTTTTCCCCTTATCTAAACTATTTCATCATTTTAGTAAATAATCCTCTAGTTGAGATTATCGTTCTCTCTTTTGAATAAGAATGTTTTCACTTGGAATGATTTCACTCTTAAACAAGAACAAACCAAATTAAATGTCATAAAATAATTGTTGAGTTTCCATTTAAAAAAAAAATGTTAACCCACAATGTTTTCTTTCCAATCACCTAATTAATAGATGTTTTTTTCCAAAATAATATTTATAAAAAAAACTCATTGGCAAAAATGTGACATAACAACTTTTAGTAGCTATAATTGTGTTGACAGTTTACATCATAGTGACGTACTTTTTTTTTTTTTTTTTTTTCATAACCAGAATTTTATTAAAAGTAAATAAGAAGAGTACAGAAATATGAAAAAAGAAACAAGAACACAAATGAGTGAATAATCCAAAAAGGCCCTGCAATTCCCTAAAGTAAAACGCTTAGCTCCCCGTCGAGATGTACTGAGTTACCCGAAAGAGATGAAGTCCCCAAAATATCCAAAAGCTAATCCAGTAAGCAGAAATGGCCCTATGTTTCAGCCAATTTTTTAGCCTTGAGACGGGCACTGCGTCGAGGTAGCAATCTAGAACTGGCTGAGTCCCATTCAGTATCAGCAACGCGGTCAAGTAGCTCACGATCATAAAGTGACAGTCGAACAGGCGTAACTTCAAGATTGTTACCACCCGAAGCATTAGGTTCCAAAACTGCCGTCTGAGGAGAAACTAATCCACCCGCTAATAGTTTGGAGTGAGGTGAATAAGAAACTCGAAGAGGAGTAGTTTCAAGGATACTATCAATATCTTTAGCTTGAGAAACACCCTCTGAAAAAATAATGATCTTATTCTGATTTGGAAAAGAAACCTGGAGAGGAATAGTATCAATAACTCCCTCCTCATCGCGAAAATTATCAATAATCGCCTCGTCAAAGACTTCCAAATCAGCTCCTATGATCACCCTATCCAAAGAAGTTATATGATCTATATCAACTTGAAATAAAGCACTTGAAATGGAAAAATCATATTCCCAAGAGTGAATATTATCCCCATTTAAAAGAAAATCAAACTCATGAATATGTGAATCCGACACCTCCCCTGAATCATGCCCAAATGTTGGTTGCTTGGTAACGGATTCCTTTAACGAAGCAGTTGCTCTTTTAATCCCTGATAGAAAAAGAGAAATCCCTTTTCCATTCCGTCCTTCAGGAATGACTAAAGTATTTCTTCCTTTAATGCCCATCTCAACCAAAGTAATGTATCCACCAAAATGATTTCTCCCATAAAATAGTTGAATTTTACTGGAACCTTGATATCTTGTGAAAGTCCACAAATTCCCAGATTGGATTTGACTAAGAGAGTCACACAGCCATGTTAACCCCTCAATACCCAAAAGAATACAACAACTTTGATTGTTTTTGTTTTGGCTAATGCGTAATTCGGAGTTTACCAAGTCAAAGCAAAATGTTTTACTTTCAATTTGAACAAATGGCCTGACCTCCATTGCCTGAAGCTCACTGATTCCCTTCGTTGCTTGAAATCGGGATTGTCCATTCCATGGCCTTCCTTCCATTGCCTGATGAATATCCAATCGCCTTTGCTCTTTGACTGTCGATCTTCTCGTGGAAGCTCCAATATCTCTGCGAGGATTCCATCTCCTCCAACCATCATCTATCTGTCGGTTCACCTCCTGACCGTAAAACGGCCGGTTACAGCCAGATCGGTCATTCCCAGTCGGAAGCTCTATCGTCCCAGCAACGAAATCACGGACTCTCCTGTAATTCCATCGACGATCTCTCTCTCGTTCTGCCCCAGCGACGCTCCACCTTGCGGCAGTTGAGCCCGAACAAAAACTACAAAACCTACGTCTGAAAAACCTACAAAACCTACATCATAGTGACGTACTATATCATAGTAACTTTGAACACAATTATAATCACTAAAAGTTATGAATTTACATTTTTGTTCACCACTTTTCTAAAGGTAATATTAATGCAAACTTTTCTAAGGATGTTTTCTTTTGGACTGAAATTTGTTGGTCTGGTCTGGTCTGGTCTGGTCTGTTTAAGTCTGGTCTAGTCTGGTCTGGTCTGTTTAATTCTGGTCTGGTCTGGTCTGGTCTGAACTAGTCTGGTCTGGTCTGGTAAACGTCTGGTCTCTGTGTATTTTATA